TTTATTTAATAATAAATAATTTATTATTAAATAAATTTTAGTATATTTGCAACATTTCTGATTTCTCTAAACAAATATGCTGCTCCACTAGAGGATCATTTATCTTCTTTTCAGTCATCCGTGAATGGGAATGGGAATGGGATTGATTGGAAGGAAAATGCGGTGTCGGCTAAACATGCGCAGTGTCTTTTCATGCTTGTTTTCCGAACTCTTTTGTAAGATCTGACTCATCAACTCATGTTTTTGTCAGCTACTCATAAATTTTTATTAGTTATTAATTTTATGACAAACATTTACTAATTCACCAATAAAAAAAGGGTTTTTTAATTGTTACGTGCTAAGAAAAGTGTTATATTATTGAGATTCGTTTTATGTGTTTTAGTTTTTTTTTTTTACTTCAAAAAATGCGGGTCTCACAAAATATTATGTGTATAGATATTTTACCGTGTCATATTAAAGGACAAACGAAAACCCCATAAAACAAATACTTAAAAACATGAATGCTTTGACATAATCCTAAAAAATCTAGATAAAAAAAAACTACATCGGACAAAATATATTATACCAAAAAACCAAGATTAATTATTTATATATATAAAAATAGTGTTACTGATATAACTAAACTAAGAGTAATAATAGTTTAATATCATGTTCAAAAATAAGATTGATTGGATAATAATATAAATATAAAATATAACTTGAAAATAATATTATTGCATGTGCTTTTTTATCAAATTCCATAGGCTTTACAAATTTTTATTTTCAAAAAATGTGTCAGATCAGTCCATGCATATCCACGAGTCACTAAAACATAGACGAGTAGACTTGCGAAGTTAACGTGGTTTGGAAAAAAAATAAATTAAATGAGACTGAAATGAGAGAAAAAAAAAAGGTTGAAGAGAAAGAAAAGAAAAAAGAAAAAAAAACTTTAATATATTTGTCAATTTTTTATTGGAAAGACTACGATGATCCTAAAACATATTAAAAAATTTCCGAGTAGACACGTTCAAAGAAACGACTAAAGTGGCTCATGCGAATTTTCTAATTCAAGTCATATGTCCATCGTCTATACTTGATCATTAATATAATATGGGTTATACAAGTATTATGTTAGAGGAATCCTGGTAATTTTCCTGCAGACAAAAAATGATAGAAGAAAAGAAAAAAGAAAAATTATGGACCCCATGTTTTCATTGTTTGTGCAGGACAGTAATTTTTTTTTTCTATTGCATGATATTTATATTACCCATATAATATTATCTCAAGTGAAGAAAAACAAAATGAAGCATAATTTTTAAAAGATATATACAAAATATATATGGGAAAAATGTGTGTCATTTTAAAGGATGTAAAGTTGTGTCATTTTAAGAGAGAGAAAGAGATAGATAAAAGAAGAGAGAGAGTTGACAAAAAAAAATAAAGGTATGAGTCTCACCTCTTTGTGAGAGTGAAAGGATATAAGTTGTGTCATTTAAAAGGATAAACACTTTTTTCAGTATATATATATAGAGATAGGGTATATATATGAATAAGAAGAGATTTTTTTACTCTAATAAAATTTTATCAAAACACTATTTATTAATCCTCCAAATATAAAAAATAACATAGTTTTGAGGTGATAAGGTAATGAATATAAGTTAAGTTAATAATCAAGATTAAAAAAAAGTACACTAATACGAAATAATCTTATTCCAAAATATATACCGTTGGATTATGACAATCGAAGTTGAATAACACTTCTTATCTCTAAAAAAAAAAAAACAAAAAAACACTGTCTACGTAACATTATCCTTTAAATTTGTTGAATTACATTGACCCATAAAAAAGAAGAAAATTTCGGCAACCTGATTTGGTTTTTCAGTTGTCGCAAGTATTCACATCAAAAGTGTTTAATAGGAGTCAAAGTCTGTAGATATTCTTAATTAATTAGTAATTCGGTCCAGTGAGGCCACAAGCAAGCCGGGCTATCCTACTTTAATGTTGACTTCGAGTAAGCATTGCTCCTATAATCCGATTTTACCGTAGGTCCTGTAAAGTTGAACCTACCCACCTAATTAATTAAAGGAAAATATTATTTTCCTTTTACATAAGATTATTTCTCTTTTACTTTCTCACTTCGATTTCCGCACTTCATCTTTTTTTTTCTTTTTATAATAATGAGATCCATCCATTTTATCTCTACAACATAAAATACCTATCTTATATTGAAGGAGAATAATAAAACCCTTAATTAAATTAAACCTATCAACAAGTTTTTATTTGGCTTTTAATATAATCTAAGAATAACTACACCAAGCCACTAAAATTGGTCTAAAGTTGACCCTACCCAGCTAATTAATTAAATTAAACCTATCAAAATGTTTTTATTTGGCTTTTAATATAATTTAAGAATAACTACACTAAGCCACTAAAATTGGTCTAAAGTTGACCCTACCCACCTAATTAATTAAATTAAACCTATCAAAAAAAATTTAATTTGCTTTTAATACAATCTAAGAATAACTACACTAAGTCATTAAAATTGATCTTGTTCAATAATTTCCATAATTGTATAAAAAGGAAAGAATAACTGCACTAACTTTTCATAACTTGTTACTCTAACACGTTTATTGTTTAGTAAATTATCCATATTTCTATTAAAAAAAAATTATCCATATTTCTTCCTTTATGTACAAACTATAAAAAAACTTCTTTTAAGATGACAAAATGATAAATATAGATATAAATTTTTCAAACAATTTAAAGTAAATGTAAGTATCCTTATAATTTTTATTTTTATTTTGGTACAAAGTATCCTTATAATTTAATTAAGTTGCGACCAATCAATCGAAGTGAACTAAACTATTAGCTCGAGCCAACCGGCCTAAAAGTGTATCACAATTTTATATTTGCAGTTTTCTCTTCAAACAATAATTTATCAACAACGATTTATGAGAGAGAGTGCCAATCGTAGGCTAAAACTAAAAGTGTAGAAAATTACAGATTCAGATATCACTTTAGTAAAGTTGCAACTCTCTTAACAATCTTCCAATTTAATAAGACACAAGAAAACACATATAGATGACATATAAAAAATGACACAGCAGCAAGCAATTGAAAGAGAGATTATTTTGTTTTATACATCTAACAAATATAAATAAATAACTTTTTTTTAACCCTTGATGTCCACTCCATCCACCACCAAACGAATGGTTGTGGAGAGTAGCTTAAGTTGTGTTGTGGTAATTGGCTAACAGCACGGGGGTTGCGACAGGAAACGGCAACCATAGTGCCCCATTTTGTGTACCTTTAAAACAAGGAAAGTATATATTGATCTAAAGAGAAATTAATATGTAACTAAAAATATTACACAACTCCAATAAAAATGGAACAATATGACTATGCAATCATATAAGCCATTACATTAGAAAGAATATTAGCAAATTAAATATAAAAGTTTAAAAAACTATTCAATATTCTCACAATCCTATCTAATCTTCTAATAGCACCAATTGTTTGGCCTTTTAAAATAAATAAATTTTATCTCTTGTTTATTTTAAAAGTATTTTCTAAAAAAATTAAAGCTATTTAAAATTTTTTAATTTTTTTTTTTAAATATTTAATTTTTTAAAATTACTTGGATTTTAATTTCTGTTTTTTTTAGAAGATAAATTTTTTAGCTTACAAAAAAAAGTAAGTTTTTGAAAAATAAAATTATAATTTTTTTTTTAAAACAGACATCCAAATGAACTTATAGTAAAAAATATTTTTTTTTCTTTAACAAAATATCTTTTAACAAAATAACTTTTGGAGGAAAAACAAACATCCATACGACCCCTAACACTCGTGTACGAAGTCTACCCAATAGTAGATATAAAAACATAATAAATCGATATGAATATCATATGCTGTCCCACAATAAACGTTGATGCTGATAATTCTTAGTTCCCTTTTCCATAATCCGAACTCAAAGAAATAATAGGATCCTATGGAAAATATAGTCAGAAATCAACAATAAAGTCATCATAAACTTCTCTATACTTCTTATGGTATTCTGCTCAATCATGGCTGAAAAGGAATTAAAAGACGCAAAGCAGTAAATATCTAAATAATTAGATTAGGAGATGCTATGTTATTTAATAATATCAACCATTTAACAGCAAATTATTATTATTTTTAAAATAAAAAGAAAACAGTAACCGTATTTTTTTGGTAAATACAGTCAGGTCTTTTGAATATAATCCATACACTCTGATTGACAGGACATCTCCACCGCTTCAGCGCACAATATCAAGGTCCGTGACTCCTTACCAAGAGAGGGGGAAAAAAATGAAAAAAATTCAACACGCGTATCATGTTTGATGACAAAATCTCAGTTCACATCACACCAGAACTACTGTCTCAACATTTTCAGGTTCACATCACACCAGAACTACTGTCTCAACATTTGCCTCACTTTCCTCTCCCCATACTAGGTCTCTGGAGCTCCTTCTAACATAAAAAAGGCGTTCGAACATATTTTAGATTTCAAGTAACAATAACCTATGATACACTTCAATTCAAAATACCTGATATGTTACGACACTTTCAGACGCTCTCCGACACTTCCGACCATTCCAACATACGTTACAGAAACTCAAAAAAGAATTTAAAAATTGTGTTGCATTGTTTTTCTAATTCCAACTATTAAATTCGTTAGATTATTATTATCATTCTATTGCGTTTAATATAAATATAGAAAATATCTTATGTTTATTTGCAAAATTGATGAATATTATAAATTTAACTTCTAGAATAGTAAATATAATATACACTACATAAATTAAAAATATTATGTAATATTAAAACGTGTCCTCCATGTCTAAATCTAACATTTTTTAGAATTAACATATTGAAGTATCATGTCATATCCCGTGTCGGTACAACATAGATAATACCATATATTTAAAAAAAAATAAAAACGAAATACTGCACAGAACATTCGAAAATATCAAAAAATTGACTGTATCCCACCAATCAGCGAACAGATGAAACGGAGAGCATCAAGACAATAAGTCAATAACGATCTGGCAAGTTATGCTTGGTAGTCTTTTTTGACGATTAACATCATGGAACAACCATACTAACTAGATAATTCACAAAATACCAAGTTTTAAACTAAGTTTATTAACAACTAGAGTATTCGGGAAACTAATGAAACAGGCTACTGCAGAGTCCTGCAAAACAACAACAAAAATTAACATCACGGATTCTGCTAAGCTACATTCGTGATTTCGTCTCTCTTCCAAAATGTCCAAGTTCAGCAACAGTATTTGGCCACAGTAAAGATCAAATTGACCACCATTAAATCACATGCCTGATAGCAAATCAACGGGGACTGCACAAAGAGAAAGAATTAATCAACCACTATCTATTTCAATTTCAATTCTAGGCTTAAAATGCAAATCCCTCACATTGTACAATCGATCAAAAAAATTAGTGTTTGGTTAAATAAAATAATAGGAATTTGAACTTAAAGGCATTAGATAAAAGTGGTTAACCTACAACATGACTGACAGAAGACAGTAATTACTAACAATTGAGTTAAAGATTAGTAATTCGCCTCAAGGAAAAAGAAATGACATTTGTTTATGCTAATGTCTTAAACTAGATACTTGAAAGCTCCGCTAAAGTGTTAAAGATCATATTTGAATTGACAAAATTTGGTAGGATAAGAATTGCAATTCAATCAATAAAAACACACTGAAAATTCATACCTGTATGACCGTGAACTAGACCTTGAAAGGCTGCGATCATTACCCCTGGGACTTTCTGATCTGCTGCTAGGTGTCCGATCCTTTTTGTCATTAGGACTCCGACCATTCTCCCTGGGACGTGGGGACCCCCTGTAGTCCTTCCCACCACTAGGAGAGAGAGACCTAGAATAAGATCTTGATCGCTCAGGAGAATAATAATCATCCCTACCCCTGCCATTCCTATATAACATATCAACGAGAGACCTTAGTAATACAATAAAGTTAATAAATATAGCTAAATCATCACAATTACATACCCTACACATATTGAAAAAATAAAAATAAAAATAGTAGAGTATCAACAGTAAGCATCTCATAAATCAATGGAGATCTAAATAAATGCAGCTACAACAAACTACAGAGATAATTAAGCACACAATCACTCAACCAAAATTAACTCTTTGTTCCATATCGGAGAACTAATACTTACTTCCTCCTCAAAATCTAATTAGCCAAAATATGACCTTTACCTGTACCTTTCCATAGTTTCTGGACAAATACATGACACTTGGATCCAAACACTGACAGTTATGAATCATGTACTGCAAGATCAGCATCTGGTAACTTCATAGCTCTCTTTGTCCCAACTTTTTAAAATCACAACTATCTTTCTTGCACAATGTCATCATATCTTTACCCGTATAAACTTTGGCTTCCATTCTTTCTGGATGATTTTCTTTGACCAACTATAAGCTTTATATTCTTTCTAAACTGGATAGTATATGCAAAACAAGATATTAAACTAAATAAAATCTTCCTTACAGAAAACTTATATAAGGGAATCAAAAGAAGTGCTTAATTGAACCATTCTTCTTGCTACAAACCAAATGCCACAAAGTAGTTCAAGTCCATCAACGGGCAGAATAAGGCAAGTTTGATATGGATATTTCTTATGGAGTCTTTGATAGAAACGTAAGCCTCTTTACTCGTTAATCTTTATTAATCCATCTTTAAAGTCTTCCAATTCACTTTATTATCTGCATAAAGAAGACCATAAGCAGATATCATTCAATTCATTTAAACACATTAAAGGAGTGTTGTCTAGGTCAAAGGATTGGAAGACACTCTAATCGAAGAAGTAAACCTTCGAATTAACTCTTGCCCAGCAAGGAAATAGTACAATTATTAACATCAATACTCATTATATAAACCAACTTGCCACTTTGAATGTCTACCAGTATAAACACATTATCAAAACAAACACAAATAAATGAATACATGTTAGTAAACCCTAATTACCAATTCAGCAAGTGTTCTAATAAGAGAAATTTTCCAAAAGCAGTCGGCCTCATGAAATACCCAGACTAAAAGACATTAGTTTCTTGAAGTTGTGTAAGATAAACAACTTTAGCTTTGCTTAAAATTAAGGTACAGTGCACTGACATTATTTACAATAAATAAGGTCTCCAGTTCCAAAAAAAAAAAAGTTTCTTGTCAGCAAGGATATCATATAGTTCCAACAGAAAAATGAATTCAAGAAATTATTCAGGCCAAAAATAGCTAGCAAGCTCCTGTTGGTGGTTCCTAATTTACGCCAATAAGAAAACAGAGGAAGCACATTTCCTTTCACCACCTGTAGCTCTGCTGGGCAACTTTAATCATAATGATTTCCATTGAAGCATCTCATTAATACATCATTCAAATGGGATGATTAGAAACTTGTATTGCAACTAAAATGAAAACACTCACTGCTTAGAAAATGAAATTCTTTTGCAAAAACCAATTGTAAATAATGTTTCAACACCTAAACTATGAAATATAGCCCCATCACCACTATTGTGAAAATGAGGCATTAGTTCAAACATACTACCCAAAAATTATAATAATGCTCAATACAAAATGTAGGAACTTGTACAATGAAAATTAAACTATCACTACTGTGTAAGACTCAAACCTTGAATCATCCCTAGCTGGTGATGGAGACTGAGAGTAGGCTGCAAAAACAACAGTTATGATAACATAAAACAATGGCTTCTCATAGAAATCTTCAAAAAAAACTGGATGTTTTGGCAATTAGAAACTGATTTTGAAGCAGAGGTGAATAGTTAAACTGACAATCATATCGTCGTCTTGGGGATCTTGTATGAGTCCTCCTTCTACCACCTCCATGCCGATCACTGATAGTATAAAAACAAAACAAGAGTCAAATGAATATGAAAAAAATACAGTACAGAAGAAAATCCATAATTGCAAAATAGAAAAACAATCAGAAAATCAAAACTGTAATCAGACCTTCCACGAGAAGTAAAACGCATCTCTTGAGGAGTTTTCCTATTTTCCTCAGCAAACACAATTCTTATTTCACGTCCACCAATGATAGTGTGATTAAGATGATGCTTTGCCTCAGCTGCATCTTCACCATATCGATATTTCACAAATCCAAAGCCCCGAGGCTCACTACAAAAGCAATTCAACAAGTTTCAATTTCGTGAAAGCAAAATGCTCACTGTTTAAGAAAGCAATGTGTTATGAACTTATTTGTGAGCAATAGGCCTTTACTACTTCTATAGACATAATTTCATACCAACTTATTATGGACTTCAAAATAAAATTGTTCAAATAAGATAACAGTAGAGCAGAAGCAGATTCTATTGATAATGATAATACTTAAAAAAAAAAGTAGGGCAGACATACCCAGTGTAGTAATTTTTAGGAAGATAAACATCTTTCACAGGACCATAGCGCTCGAATGGGATCCTAAGATCTTCAGGCCTGCATAATATAAATTGAAAAAATCAGGCCAGTTTCCTTAATTCCTTCGCGTTCGCAATTCCTTCAACATCAGTATCTTTCAATCAATTAAATGGAATTAACAACACGAAACACTCAACCAAAAAAAATGACAGGGTTCCGGCATAAAAGAAAAGCATGTAGAAAGTGAGAAAGCCAACATCCCCACCGATAAAGGAAGAGCGAAGAAGAAAAAGCAAGAGATTAGGGTGTAAGAAGAATAGACCTAGCATCAAGGGGGAGATTACGAACAAGCAAGCCAGAAGGAAGAGGGGAGCGCCGGTCTCTGTAGGACCTGCTATCACCGTGGCGATCATCAACGTAGCGCTTGCGTCCGCGCGGCGGAGGGCTTCTGCTACGCCGCCTAGGGCTGTAGCTTCTGCTCCGGCTTCTATACCTTCCCATTCCAGCACAACTCACTTCGTCTGTATCAACAATCAAGAAAACAGAGAGAAAGACAGAAACCCTAGCTATACAAGAGTTCGAGCGAAAACGTGAAAAACCCTAACCCCAACAACAAAAGGGAGCAATTGCTCTCGTCTAAGGAGAGAGAGTCAGGGAGAAAAACGACTAACAGAGTATGAGAAGGATATTTATATAAATAGAGAATCACGTCTATTCTTTTAAAAGAAATAAATTTATATCTTTTTAAATTCTAATCGTTGATTTCTGTCCATCAACGGTTATAATTTATTGGATTAAAATTATTAATTAATTAATAATAAATTTGACCATTAAGTTTGGCCCAATAGATTATAATCGTTGATGGACGGAAATCAACGGTTAAGATATAAACTTATATCTTTTAAAAGAATAGATGTTTTTCTCATAAATATATATGAGATAAGATCCTTTGACACTAGTGTCAAATTTCAAATTTGACACCTCATCTGAGAGCCGTTAGATCAAAAAAGATCAACGATTCTGATTTGCAAGCATGTGACACCATTGATCTTTTTTCATCTAACGGCTATCAGATTAGGTGTCAAAGGATCCTACCTCAATATATATATATATATATATATATATATATATATATATATATAGAGACAGCATCCTTTGACACCGGTGTAAAAAAAAATGTTTGACACCTCATCTTAGAGCCGTTAGATTAAAAAAAATCAACGATTCTGATTTGTAAGCATGTGACACCATTATTTTTTTTAATCTAACGGCTCTTAGATGTGGTGTCAAACTTTTCCTTTGACACCGGTGTCAAAGGATCCTGCCTCATATATATATATATATATATATATATATATATATATATATATATATATATAGGTGTTTTCGTCAATTCGGCCCGGTCCGGTTTATTCTGACTAGCTCGTTACCGGTAAGGCGGTAACACTAAATTCGGACCGGTCCAATAAACCTTTGCAATATTAGCCCAATCCAATAAAATTATGAATTTTTAATTTTTTGAAAGTCAAAATTGTGAAATTTTGTGGATACGATTTACAAATACGATACTAATTTTTTTTTTGGAGACAATACGATACTAACTTCAACTTCGAATAATTATTTTTAAATAATAATTGTTATGATTGTGTTTGATAGTTAAGAGGTTTGAATTGATTGTAAGCTGATTGCTTGACAGGTTTTATATGGTATCAGATTTTGATGAAGGCAAACGTGGTTGTAGAAGAAAATTAGAACCCCGTTAACAACCGCAGGCATAGAAACTAGAAAGCCTGAACTTCGATCCTTTACATAGACTAAGGATTTCAATTGTGACGGTGATTGATGTTGTATCTTTTGTTGCTTCTGGTGAAACACAAGTGAGTGGTGGAAAAGATGTTTCCAATTCACCATCATATTGCAAGAAGAGTGCTTATTCATCTGTGGTGAGTGACCCTGCCTTGTTTATTAATTTTCTCTCAAATATTTATTTTTGTGTGAGAAATCATGGTTGATATCTATGAAGCACCGACACTTCAAAAATTCTGACCTGTCGTGTCCGACACTTTCTGACACTCACCGACGCTTCGACACTTCCCGATACTCCAATACTCGTTGCAAAGACTCAAAAAATATTCAAATGTTACGTTGCGTTGCATTTTGAGTTCCAACTATTAGATTCATTATATTACGATTACGATTTTACTGAGTTTAATATAAATATTTGAGATATTTATGTTGGCTTTTTTACCCCTTTACCCCATATTAAATAAAAAATAACCATTTTGTCCCTGTACCAAAACTATACACTAATATGTCCCAATTTAATCGATTACATAACAATTTAATCGATTATTTCACGAAAAAAAAACTTAATCGATTAGACGATGCAGTTTTGGAAAATGCAGTTCTTGTTCTTTTGTGGCTCTCTTCTTCGGAAACCGCATCCGCGCAAGAGAACGCAATTGGGTGTTTGTCCAATTTGTATCGGAGGAAGAAAGTTTGAAGCTTTTGGTCGTTAGGGAAGTTGGGGTCGAGTGTTTGAAGAATTTCTGGGACTCGGGTGGGAGTCTCGAGGTTGCGGTTGAGTTTCTGAGGAACTTGGCTTCGAATTCGAAGGTTGCTGAGGTTCTTGTTTCTTATGGGTTTGTGCCCCGCGTTGTGGGGGTGTTGAATTGTGGGGTGATGGCATTGAGAATTTCTGCGGCTAGCGTTGTTTATGCTTTGGGGTTCAGCAGCACAAAGGCGAGGAAAGAGCTGGGTGAATGTGGGTGTATTACCCCTTTGGTTAACATGTTGGATGGTAAAGGTGTGGAAGAAAAAGAATCAGCAGCGAAAGCCTTGTCAATGTTGATGCTGCATGAAGGGTTTTTCGTAAGGATGAAAGGGGCATAGTGAGTGTTGTTCAGCTTTCTAATCCTTTGTTGCAGAATTTAGATAAAAGATACCTTGTTTCGTTGCTGGCCTCACTCGTTCATTCCAAGAATTGTAGGAAGCAAATGGTTGTTGTAGGTGCTTGTTTATATGTGCAGAAACTTGTTGACATGGATGTTAAGGGATCCAAGAAACTCTTGGAAAGCCTTGGTCGTGGTAAGATTTGGGTTGTTTTTGCAAGACCCTGGAAATGAAATGAAAAATATAGAGAAAAGTGAGGAACAAAGTGCTATAGCACTTGGATGAAAAAATAAGAAAGGGAGCAAGTGTTTTTTTCCATCACTGCATCGTCTAATTGATTAGTTAATCGATTATTATTTTTTCCGCCAAATAATCGATTAAATAACTATGTAATCGATTAAATTAGGGCATATTAGTGTATAGTTTCGGTACAGGGACAAAATGGTTATTTTTTATTTAATAAAGGGTAATAAGGTCAAAAAGTCTATTTATGTTTCTTTATAAAATTAATGGATATTATAAGTTTAACTTTATTTTTTTGTTAAATTATTGAAAACTAAATATAATATACATTACATAAATTAAAAATATTATACAATATCAAAATGTGTCCTAACGTGTCGAAATATAACATTTTTTAGAATTAACGTGTCGTCGTGTCATGTCATGTCGTATCCCGTATCAATGTCAGTGCAACATAGGTTCATATGAAGTTCACTTACAGTGCCAAAGAGGTCTTAATTATTATCTCTTTCAAGCTGTAGAACAACTTGAATACATTGTGGGTTGTTCCCCGTGGGAAGTACTGGGAAGCAAATTGGCCTATTTTCGTGGCTGCATTGTTTTCAAATGTTGTCAAGGAAATGAATCACGTGCTTATAATAAAAGAAGAGTAAATATTCGGTCCTTAGCAAATTTTAAGATCACCGCTTTAGTTCCTAGCAAATAAAAAAGTTATTCGTAGTTTTTAAGAAATTTAAAATAGACTTCCATTTTAATCCTTTTGAGAGACTAATGTAAGTCTTTTTTGGAATTTGTAAAGAATTACGATTTCAACTAAATGAGTCCATTTTGAATTTATTAAAACTACAAATAACTTTTTTATTTATTAAGGATTAAAACGGAAACCGTGAAATTTGCTGAGGACAAAAAAAAAAAAAATTACTAAAAGAAAAAGTGTGTGAGAAAATGGGAAAGTATAGGGTGCCCTTCGTCCAACTCCAAGTGAACCACACACCGTATCACATTATTGTCCTATGACTACGACTGATTACGGATATGAATCATAGGATCTACTTCACAATCCATGTTTGGAGCAACGTCTCAATCTTTTGCTGTCCCTTGTTTTGGTTTCTTCCTCTTTGGTCACTTTGGGTCCCGAATATTAACATCACAGCTAGCTAATAATGTCCATTATCAAATAAGGTGCTGACTGTGTGCTTCGGTTTTTTTTATCATTTTCTAGTTAAAATTGAGGCCTATGACCTGTATTAACAGAATGACAATATTCTTCTGGTTTTTTTATTATTATTTAAAAAATTAAACACATAACCTATTACATAACTACTCACACTCATCACCACTTATTCTTCTGTTTTATATATATGAACATTAGCTACTCTCATAAAGGATAAGATTTCGGGCTTTTTCACCCTTTTGCCCCTTATTAATTAATTAATAACCATTTTGCCCCTGATTCGAAACTATTTATCAATCTGCCCCTCTTTAGTCGACTACCTTGCATTTTTAATCGACTAAATGGCCAAAACAGATAAAAAATGGCTGCCGGGAGATTTAGTCGACTAAATCTCCCTATTTAGTCAACTAAATCTTCATATTTGACAAAAAAAAAATAAGTCAGTATGATTTTAATCGATTAAGTAGGGAGATTTAGTCGATTAAATCTCTCAACAACCGTTTAGTCGATTAAAAATGTAAGGTAGTCGATTAAAGAGGGGCAGATTGGTAGATAGTTTCGAATCAGGGGCAAAATGATTATTAATTAATTAATAAGGGGCAAAATGGTGAAAAAGCTTAAGATTTCGCTATTCGGTTCGTAAATATTTTTTATTTGATTTGATTTTAGGAGAATAAACCTTCTTATGTAAGTTATTCACGTGATAATATTACGTAAAAATAGAGATAAATATAAAAATCATATACGGGTAAAGTCCTATATTTTTTTTGATAGGCAAAGTCGTATTTAATTTGTAAGATTTTCACATTGTTGAGATATATAGTCCCACATTGGTTGTATGTGCAACTAATGTGGAGTTTATAAGGCCTTGGACACTCTCACTTTTAGAGCTAGCTTTTGGGATGATGTATCTCAAGGTTCTTTACAATTCGCGTGGCATTTAAACTCTCACTCATTGAGTTAGCTTTTGGGATGGTATATCCCAACATTCTTTACATTTTTTACACACGTGATACAAATTTATATGTAAGGATCTCTTCTCTAATTCTAACAATTTCTTTTTTTAATTTTCTTCCTTTTATATATAACTAACTTAACATCCTTTGCATGGAAAAATATATATAAAAAAATGGATTCAACTTACCCTTATAATTATTGTATGCATAACCTAATGGAAATCTAAGAGTGAGGTTCTACATTGGTTAGAAATAAACTAAATAATAATTATATAAATAGAATGGCCTATAAACCTAATTCCTTAAATTTTGAGTTGAAATATGGGGTTGAGTCTATTTTGTTGTAGTGGACTCTAAAGCACTGACTCGCGTTTTTTTTTAATTGTGCGTGTCCGACACGTGGTTAATATTTTGGGACACGTGGTCAACTCTCCGACACATTTTTTCGACACACAGTCAACTTTTTCGGACACGTGATCAACGTTCCGACACGCTCCAACACGTTTTTTTTAGTCTTAATTTTATTTTATTAATTAAAAATAAAAAATCATTTATAAATCAATTTTTTCTATTATGAAATTTGACATGAAAAGTTAACAAGGTACGATTTTTTTATTTATTTATGTTATGAAATTTGAATATTTGACTAGTTATATAATTTATTATGGACTATTATATGTATTAAATATAAATTATATTATATATATTAAAAAAATTATTTAATATCAAATGTGTCCTAAAATGTCGAAATATGTCATTTTTTAGAATTAACGTGTCGACGTGTTGTGTCATGTGTCCCGTGTCAGTGTACGTGCATCATAGGTGGTGGATTATTATTTAGCTCATTTATGTGTCAAAGGTAATTGAGAGTACTTTGGCACCCGAGGCCGCATAACTCTAGTAACAGAGCCAATAATTAATTATGAGTAAATATCTTTTTTGGTCCTCAGCAAATTTTACGATGCTTGCTTTAGTTCCTAGCAAATAAAAAGGCTATTCGTGGTCCCTAAAAAATACAAAATGGACCCATTTAGTTGAAATCATGATCCCTAATAAATTCAAAAAAGACCCACATTAATCCCTCAAAAGGACTAAAATGGATCCACTTTGAATTTCTTAGGGACCACAAATAGCCTTTTTATTTACTAAGGACTAAAGCGGGCATCGTAAAATTTATTGAGGACCAAAAATGATATTTACTCATTAATTATCTTTGTAAGGTATTTGGTTATAAACGAGTTGAGTACTAGGCCTAGGGTACTCAAATAGGCTTCCATTGAGGGGAAGCATACTAATGAGGACTTCACGCATGGAGAAAAATATTGTGATGTTCAAATGTGATGAAATCTCATATTAGTTAATATCTGGCTAAGTGAAAGGACCTATAAATCCAATATCTTAATATTTTTGGTTGAGACATGATGTTGGTTTCATATATTATGGTTGGTATAATTTAGCCCATTTGTGATGGTTCCCCCTAGGACCATCTAACACTTTATATTTTTTTTTTCCTTTCTATGACCTATATCTAAGAGGGTACTCTTCGTGCAATGGAATTATGACAGCTCATAAGACTTTACCCTTGTATACATATAGGGATAGTGAAGCTAACATAACTCTAGTCAATAGTGTGTATGTGGACTAACCCATCATAGAGTCCATTCAGACATCAATGCTTAAATTATACCGCTCAATTAGGCTTAGTACCAATGGATGTCAATCCACCTCTTTCATTATTATTATTATTTTTCATTTTTTTTGTAAATGTCCTCTTTCATTTGTTAATTTATGTAAAAAAAAAAAAAAAAAAAACACAATGATTCACATACCGCTATAATCAAACTTTAATTCGGTAGATTTTATCCGAATCTTCTTATATCTAATAAATTGCTATGAAGATAACAATATTTTCTTAACGTTCAGACCTTTTTAAAGTCTTAAATGGTGGATGTTAACCCAAATCTACCAAAATCCATGGGTATTGGGGTATAGCAGTATGGGATTAGATTTGTGGCAAAACGAATAAATTTATTGGAGTAATGGTTGAAGTTTTTGATTTGATTGAGATATCTTAGTAATTGTGACAACATTTTGCTAATTTCTAAAGGGTCAATGTAATATACTAGCACATTATATATATATACAGGGTCCGTCGCTTCTCATGTGACTGCTAATGAGAAAAGTTGCAGCAAATTTTTAACACTAGAATACACGTGCAGATCCTATAAAAAAAAAACTAGGATTCAGACGCGTATCCTGATAAAAGTAAGTGTTGCTGCACTTTTTCCCTCCTGCAATCACATAAGAAGTACTTTCCCAATATATATATTACAGTTTTCTGGAATTCACCTAAATGGTGTACAAATCGTGAATTTAGTGTTATGCAAAAATTCTTTCCCAAAATCATTAACACCAAGGGTATTCCAATGCCATTTCCAACTTCGCATAACATTGCCATTCAATTCAATTTTTAATCTCTCATTTAGCTAAAAAGATGCCATCGAGCTATAATTTAGTACCACTTGATTCACAATCAAAACTCATACTTAGAGAAATTGCAACGGCGCGTGCTTCCATGCATTTCCCCAATCATTGAGCCAAAGACAATGGATACCATAATACCCCGTACCCAACAGCTAGCTGCCTACAATAAACATTCGATTCAGATTTAATTGCAGCCGACACATCCGAGTAAGGGCCACGTAAGATCAGATGAATAAAAAAAGTGCAATCATGGACTCAGCTCAGGATTCACATGCAAGTTGTTAACCAAAAACCAAAAACTTCGAGCTTCTAATCCATTTCCTCTTAGAAAGGTCTGAAGAGTCCTGATGTAATCACAATGTCAGTGACAGCTCCATTCCCACATGCCATGGCATTACAAAGATAATCAAACAGTGGAATTATCTTCTAGCCACAATGCTGTTGTGTTACATTTAGTATAAATACCATCCAACACCCATCATGTTTTTGCATGTCTTCTGTTGGTATAACATCATTGCTCTTAACTTCTGGGGGGGGTTATTTCATTATTCTTGTGTTACTCTTTTTTCGAAGTCATATTGCTATTGAAGAAAATGGCAATTGAGCAGCACAAGGAAGTTGAGAGTGGAGGAGCCAATGGGCTTCAGGATTTGCAAGAGCCCTTCATTCAACAAAGGAAGGATGCTCCTGCTGCCTCTAAAGATGTTGAATCTAACAAAAGGGTGGAAAATGGATCCATCGGAATGGTTCTGCTTAGCACATTTGTTGCTGTTTGTGGTTCTTTTTCATTTGGAACTTGTGTAAGTATCTTTAAGCTTTCTCAAAATCATAACTGGCAAAGCTTCCCCCGCCCCCCTTTTTTTTCCTTTCAAATTATGGTGTGCACAACAACCTTCTCTTATCAGTTCTTTTTTAATTTCTGGGAATAGAAATAGATAGGAAACTAGTTTGGTAAAATCGGTTTATTTTTTTATTCAAGATGAATCGATTTAATTTTTGTATTGGGAAACAGAGAAAATAATTTTTTTTATTTTTTGTTCTCGGACACAAAATAAGAAACATATTTCTCTCTCAATAGCTCTCCACCACTACCATTCTGACACGACCACAACCACCATCGTCACCGTTGTCGTCACCACCACCACCGCGATGCCACCGCCACTATTTCCACCACCTTCACCCATCGACACACCACGACCACCACGCCACCACGACCACCACGCCACCACCATCATCGTGCGCCACTGCCATCACCACCACCGCCATGTCATTACAATCACCATTGCCACCACTGCTACCGCCGCCACTGTTACCACTATTGTCGCAGTCACTGCCGTCACCACCGCCGCCGCCACCAACTACTACCACCATCGCCATCACTACCACCTCTGCTGCCACCATTTCCATCACGACACCACCACCACACTATATGAAAAGGAAAGTGATAATTCGAAAAAAATTTATGCTTAATAAGAATTATATTTTATTATGTTATTTGTTATGTTATCAAAAACAATTATCATTCTCGGAATAAAAATAGAATATGTTGTTAATCACATTTTTTTTTTCAGATTCTGTTCTAAGGCACGAAAATAGAAAAGAATTGTTGTATCAACCTATCATGGAACAAAATAATTGCCATGCACACCCTAAATATCTGGTTCTTTTGTGTTTGTTTTCTGGGTTAGGAACCAAACCAAAAATACCCCAAAAAAACAAAAAAAAAGTATGCATTTTTAGCTGGAGTTATTATTTTTGCAGGTGGGCTATTCAGCACCCACTCAAGCAGCTATTAGGACAGATCTTAATCTAACTCTTGCTGAGGTTAGTATTCTAAACTCCCCTCCTCATTGACATTTACACCATATTGTCTGAAAGGCAACTAATAACATGTTGGGGGAAATGGCAGTTTTCAATGTTTGGTTCCTTAGTAACCATTGGTGCAATGCTTGGGGCTATAACAAGTGGCCATATTACGGATTTCATTGGCCGGAAAGGGGTATGTGAAATCTAAATTCCCAATAAATATATGCTCTCTATAGGGGCCTTTAAATATTACTAATAAGCCTGAATTTTGATGAGAAACAGGCAATGAGAATGTCAACAGGATTTTGCATAACAGGATGGTTAGCTGTCTTCTTCTCAAAAGTATGCATCTTCTTCACAATACAAAATCATTGCGAGAAAATTGTTGCAAAATGGAAAAGAGGTTTCACCTGTGTTATTCTATCTATTGCAGGATCCTTACTCACTTGACTTAGGAAGATTTTTCACAGGATATGGAATTGGAGTTATCTCATTCGTGGTAACTAGCTATAACTGTATAAACATAAAAAGAAAAAATTGTTCATTTTTATTCAGAAAGTTTAAGAGCAGACCGTATGTTGCTTCTTGATGAAAGCATGCTAAATGGAACAGGTCCCTGTATACATAGCTGAAATAGCACCCAAAAATCTTCGAGGTGGACTTGCAACAACAAATCAGGTGGGGAAATATTAAGAATCACTAATTTGTTTCTTAGATTAAAAGTTATGTATCATTGAGAAGAATTTTGGCCTTGACTTATTGTTTTGCAGCTTATGATTGTTATTGGAGCATCAGCCTCATTCTTAATAGGAAGTGTCCTAAATTGGAGAGAACTAGCTCTAGCAGGTAAGTAACATTAGCTTTGAATTGTTGCTTAAGGCGTAGCCAATTATTGAGGAAAAGGTCTTACTGTTGGCTTGGCTTGAACTTTGAAGGGCTTGTGCCTTGCATTTCTTTGCTGATTGGTTTGAGCTTTATCCCAGAGTCTCCCAGATGGCTGGTAAACATTAAGCTAAAATCTAAATCCCATATTGTCATCTGTTTTCTTCTTCTAGATAAGCATGAGAAGAAGATAGCAATGCAAATTAACAACTAAAAAGTGATTTTTATTTTTCAGGCAAAGGTTGGCCTCGAAAAAGAATTTCATGTAGCTTTAAGGAGACTTCGAGGAAAAGATGTTGATGTTTCTCAAGAAGCTGATGAAATTCTTGTACTTTCCAAAATCCCTTAATTGATTGAACATCTTTAAAATATTTTCTGATCAGTTTGACATGCCTGATAAGCTGAGCTGACTTACATTTTGCAAATAGGATTATATTGAAACTCTTCAAAGCCTTCCTAAAACTAAGCTTCTGGATTTGTTCCAAAGCAAACATGTGCGCTCTGTAGTTGTAAGTAACATACATTTCTATCACAAATTCAATCAGTGTGTGTAACTACTCAGAAGTTTCTAACTGTTTGTAATGATTTCAGATTGGGGTTGGGTTAATGGTTTGTCAACAATCTGTTGGAATTAATGGTATTGGATTTTATACAGCCGAGACTTTTGTGGCAGCTGGTAAGTGAGAAAAATTACATGCTGATTTTGAAAATTCAAAATAGCTCTCTTTCTTCTGTCATATTTATTCCCCTACAACTTGGCCTGCAGGACTTTCTTCAGGAAAAATTGGTACCATAGCCTATGCTTGTATGCAGGTAGTTCATAGTTGATTTCTCAAAAATGAATCATACATGACATAACTGTAGTTTTCTGTTTGAACTTCATCTGTTCAAATGAATGACAGGTTCCATTCACTGTATTGGGAGCTATTTTGATGGATAAGTCCGGAAGAAGACCACTTATAATGGTAAATCTGTTTTCAAGCATTTAAGTTTTTTATAATACCATCTTCAAATAAGGGGAATAAGAACTTTGATGCCTAATAGAAGTGCCTGAATCCATGTAGGCTTCAGCAAGTGGAACATTTGTAGGCTGCTTTATTACTGGAATTGCTTTTTTTCTCAAGGCAAGTTTTTAATAATCACATTTTCAACATAGATTGTGTGTGCATCTCGATTTTAAAATTCTGCTTTACGATTCCATTGATCAGGATCAGAGCTTATTGCTGGGGTGGGTACCAATATTAGCAGTTGCTGGCGTGCTGGTGAGTCTTCTTCTGAAGATGTTGATTTTCATTTTTTTGTCCTCCTTATTTCTTAAGGTTTAGGGGTTGCTGAAAAGTAAGTTAACTACGTAATCTTTAAACTCAAAGTCCAGTTTGACCTGAAATTCTATCATCTTTTTTGGCACTGCTTGTAATCAGATCTACATAGCAGCATTTTCAATTGGAATGGGACCAGTTCCTTGGGTAATAATGTCTGAGGTAAGTATCATGTGACAAACACACTTAAATGGTTTTGGCTCTTGTAGCCTATCTTTTATGAATGATTATTTTCTTTTCCTGATCTTTAGCTTCTGGAAAGTAGAAGTAGATTTGATTGTTCTTGGTAATCAAATCTTAAAAAAGTTCTAATACTAGTTTTCATATTGCAGATCTTTCCTATACATGTGAAAGGAACCGCTGGAAGCTTGGTGGTTTTGGTGAACTGGTTAGGAGCTTGGGTAGTTTCATATACTTTCAACTTTCTAATGAGCTGGAGTTCTCCTGGTAAACACAGTAAACAAACATAGTTGGTTATCATTCTTATTTATCTCCATGTGACATTGATCGGTGACATATATTTCAAATCTGTTTGGACAGGTACCTTATTTTTGTATGCTGGATGTTCCCTTTTAACTATTATTTTTGTAGCAAAGTTAGTCCCAGAAACCAAAGGAAAAACTCTCGAAGAAATTCAGGCATGCATCAATTCATAGAGGGAAAAGGGCTAAACAAAGCTTAGATGGATAAATTTCGGACTTGTCTCCATGTGTTGTTTCCAAATCTTCAGTATCTTTTTTCTATTTGGTGGTGTTGGAGCTCAAGCCAAAAATCACAGCAGAGGGATATTGTGCAATTACTATTATTTATTAAATTCTTTTAGATCCATTTGAAATAATGGATAGGATCTGCATTGCCAAGTAATGCATAAAATAACATAATATGAGCATATGACTACATGATGTAGTAGATGATATGTATCCATTATTATATTGTTAGCTTATTGGTAAAAATAATTTCGCATTATTCAAACATGTATCTGTGTAAAGAAACTAGCCTAGGCCCTGGCCACTACCTTAATCATGATTCACAACCTATTTATCAACTGCAGGTTGGTTTTTTACCTTGAACTTTCCTTTAATATAATCAAACAAACGTATCTCATTTAGATATATTCACTCGTGCATCTTACTAGCTAGGGTGGTGCTGTTTTTGAGGAGAAGAACTTTCCTCCCACTTATTTTTTCTTTTTTGGTACTTGTTTTGCAAAGCCGAATTTAGTGATTTCGTGAACAGCATATGAGGAATACACAAACTTGTTGCAAGCTTTGCGAATGCCCTTGGTCCTTCTCACTTCTCAGAATGCCTGACAAAAACTTCAATTATAAGACCCACATAGAATTTGGGCTTTTGTAACTCGGGCAGAATATTATTTGGGCCAGGCTTTATAATCTAGTGGTTCTCCAAAAATATTTAATTTAAACAAATAAAATAAGAGATTAGTGTTTTTTCTTTTAAAGGATATAGAATTATGTTATTTTAGTCAAAATTATCATATTTTATTATGAGAAAAACAAAAATCATGGCAGAAGAAAGTGAGACATTTTTTAAATTTAATATTAACTAAAAAATATTAGTTTTAATTAAAATAACTGCTCTTTAAAAAGACAAATATTATTCCCATAAAATAATATTTTTTGAAAATATAATTCTAGTTATATATCATAAAACAGATAATCTGGATTTATTAAAAAGATAAATCCTCTAGTGTTTAATCTTTGATAGATTAATTATAAATAAATTCAAAATTCTAAAAATAAATATAAGATAATTATCTTTTGAAAATAAATAAATAATTTTAATTAGATGATTCAAAATACAGCAAAATTTGAGATCTCAAATCACATCAAATTTATGTATCTATTTATTGCCGAATAAATTATAATCTTATCTACTGCTTAATTTCTACTTGGCATTTGGTCTAATCTATTAAATTTAAGTTGTTGCTTCTTTGAACATTGAAGGCATATTTATTGGATCATAATACTGTTTAGCTTCAAAAAAATTGGTAATTGATTAGGTCATATCCAATGGATAAACGAAAACGATGAGTACATGACATTAACATAGTTTAACAGTTATTCGTTACTATTTACTAGAGACTAATTTAAAAGAATAAAATATAAAAATTTCATTGAGAAAACAACATTTTAGGTAACTTCGGTAAGTTAAATTTTTTTGGGTTTTATAATTCTCATGTTAAAGAAGAATTGAAATTTTATGTTGTAGAGATAAAAAGTATGTGGAACCCATGTGTTAGAAAAAATTATATGTAGAACCCATGTCAGCACTGAAATCGAAGGGTGTGTAGAAAAATTGTAATTATCATGTCATGAGAATTATAAAACTCAATATTTTTTAGTAAAAGAAATATAAAAAAATACTGACGTGGCAAATAGGTATAACAGGAGAAACTGCAAGAGGAGAATCAGGAAGTTGATTCATTCAGGGTTTCTTCTTCTTTTGTATAAGACAGAGATACATAACATAACAGAGAGAGAGAGGTGAGGTCAAAACTCAGGAGAGAAGAAGAAAAAGCAAATGGCTTCGCCCATATCAAGGATTGTTTTCCGCATTGTGTTGGTTGCTTTGGCGTTTCTCCTTCTCTTCTACATTGGTCGCCCTTTGTATTGGAAAATTTCTGCTACCGTCCACGATATCCGCAACAATAAGCAAACTGTCAGAGAAGGTATCTTGCTTCCTCCAATTTCAATTTCAATTTGTAAATTTGGAACTTTTCTGTCTTCAATTTCTCGTTTTTCAATTACCCTTTTCTTCTTTTGTTCACTCCAGGTCTTTCCCAGATCGTTATGGAAGCTCAGAAATCGATGGGTTGGTTTCACGATGAGTTCGACTCCGGAGTCCGTCCTAAGAGCCGAAAGCTGCTTCTTCTTGAGGCTTTTTCGAGTGTAGTTGCTTAGATGTCATGTCAGATTTTTTGTTTTGGGGTTCTTTGTTCTTTTCTTTTTCATGATTCTGTGATTTTCTTATCTAGTTTTTGTCTTATAGGAACAATAATGATGTAGATGAATCTTTTTTGAAGTACAAAATTATCATGACATTCTAGATTTGGCAGCGTTTCTATTCTTATGTATTTTTAACTTATGTTTTTCTTTTTATTTTGAAATTGTGGAAGGGTAATGCTGTGCTTGTGCAATATTTATGTATCAATTGATTCTTCAACATCAACCTCATCTTTATCCTAAACTAGTTGTGTTAGGATTAATTGATCCCTCATGAAGAAAAAAAAAGTTATTTCTATTTCTGTTTGCTCTAAGAGTAAGATGGGTTCAATTCTGTCATTGCTTAGCCTATATTCTCCAAGGCTGTTCAGTCTTCATCAAATTAGCATCAGTTATTCACTGGCTTTGATTTGTTAGCTTCATGTCTGTTATGGTCTTAAAGTATGGTAGGACTGTTAATTGAACCTTGATGTTCAAATATGTAGTGGAATTGAACTTTTGCAGTTCTTAGTATGGTTGAATAAATAACATCAGATTACTGGGAATAACATGAAAATTAGATTGAGACTTATTAAATCTCAATAACTTGGGAAAGGAAAGGTTGATTTGGTTCATGGGAATGGGGTAAGATGGGAATAGGAAATCTATCCATGTCATTGAACAGTTTTTCCCTTCAGTTTATGCCTCGGACTATCTATCTTGGGAAGAATAAATTTTCTAAATATTTTTTCACAATTTTTTTGGTGTCTTTAACTATAGATCCCTGAAATTTTCATATTAAGTATAGGTTCTTTTCCTTAAGTAAATGGGTATGTCCCAGCAAGTTAATCCTTTAGCAGTTTGATGGCAGGGTCTAATAAATGGGAATATTGTATTTGTTCAGTTGTTAACAGATATATCAGCTTCTGTCATATATCACTGAATTACTTGGTTCTTATTTTCTGCCTGTGGTAACAATGGGATATGTTCAGCCATCTTGAAAGTTGATTTTTTTTGGATCTGATGGCATGCCCAAGCCAATCAAAGTTTGATCTTGTTCAGCCTCCTGCTATGTACTCTGCATGGTAGGTAGAGGTCCATATGGCTTAGGAGTGTCGCCACTAGCCAATTTTCTCACCCATACCCTTTAGAGTTTTAATCTTAATTTTGAGTGTCTCTGGGCGGGGAAAGGGAAGGAAGATTCCACTTCTTATCTTATCTGGCGATTGAATCAAACCAGGTTGCCTATTTCTCTTCATATGAATCATTTGCTGACATTGATACTAATCGAGTGCAAATAACTTAAGTGGCTGCAATTATATTATGTTGGAAATGGATCTTCTCGTATGGAAAAAAAATATGATACAGTCATGAGGAAATATTACAACCATACAAAGGTGAATCAACGATTATGATTTGTTAACTTTCTATTTCAATATTGTTTCTCTCTCTTCCTTTGTTACCATTAATTTACCTTTGTATAACCATGTCATGCTTCTTCTTTTTTCACATGAGATGATCCAGATCCTATTATATTACTCTATAGGATCTATTGAATAATTTTCCTGCCCCTTATTATCTCCCAAAAAGTGCTCTCTTGTTGGTGGGGCTTCATGGAAGATAAATATAATTCTAACAAACTTTGATGAATCCATGGGTACGTGGCCCATGACTTTCGCAGATGCATGGAGCTTTTTGGTGTTACTACAGACGGTCATCTGGTTGAGCAACCATCAAGCTGTTAAATATAGTTGTTGGATTACATTAGTCTTGCTATGCCATTTGCTAGTGCTTTGAAATAATTGGTTTAAACTTTAATCACTAGTTAGATTCTCGTGGAGAATTTTTATATTTTTCAATGTGTAGATTAGGAATTTTAATCAAGAGTCCTCTATGAACCTTACGAGAAAATTGACTGTATAAATATATTTGGCTTTTACCTCGCAAAGCAATAAATTAATTCCGGACATAACCAATTCTTTTTCTTTTTAATATTCTGTTGGGTTTTTGGGTCTAAATCTCAGGAACAGTGACCATTGTGTCACTGTTCCCACACAAATATACCAAAATGCCACGCGCGTGAACCAATTTCCCAAACTGCCATGCATGCAAGGTCGCTTGGAGCAGTAGCGAACTACGCATGATGAGGTGTCAGCAAGCTGGTGGTGTCAGAGTTCGCTTCTGACACAAGCGACCTATGTTGCAATTAATGCCTCACCTGCCATGACACGTGGCTGACATGCAACAGAGGTCGCCCCCAACCTGGGCGACCTGTGTGCAACGGCTAGTGCCACGTGGCTGACATGCACCAATGTCGCTCTCCACCTGGGTGAACTTGATGCAACGGTCGCTTTTCTCACGCCTATATAAACCCCCCCTCCCCTCTCATCGGAACTATCAGTACGCCACGACGGATCATACATGTCATTGGCAGGAATCACATCTAAAGGTTGTGTTATTGGAGGTGACGGTGGTGGGGGTGACACATTCATATCTTCCAGATTTACTTCCGGCTCCCTGTTAATGTCTATGGTGGAGTAACTGGTAGGGATGAAAGTTTGAGTGCTTGCCTCTCCACCGGTGTTTAGTTCCGCATATAACTCGATGTATGATGACTCTCCATGCTGTCGAAATGCATCAACTACTAGTGACACATCTTCATCCTCAACCACCTCCACAACAACCCATTGCACGGGGTTACCAAAAGAAGCACATCTAGCAATCAGTCGAGACAGGGATTGACCTCGTTGTAATCTCAACTTCTTGTATATTATTTTCTTGAGCTCAGTATATTTGCAACGCGGACTCATGCGGAAGATCTTCGTATCTCCTTCAAACACTTGACCGTTCGGTCCAAAATATCTCCTCCCATTATAATATAAAAGGCATATTACATCGTTGTTATTCTCACTCATTATGTATTGAAATAGACAAAGCAAAACAAACAGAATTGGAAATTTTCTTCTAAGAAAACGGACGAGACTGATTTTGGGAGAAGAGGAAGAGGGGTGTTTATATAACACTGAGTTCGCTGCCTGGGCCAGCGACCTGTAACTGTCGGCATGTAGTTCGCTTACCTAGGCAGCGAACTTCTGGGGAACTTCCACGTGGCACCAAGTTCGCTTCCCTGTCCAGCGAACTAGTGCAGTGGCTGCCACTTGTCACCCAGTTCGCCTGGGACCCCAGCGACCTAGGTAGGGGTCTGACACGTGGCAAATTAAGTTCGCCTGGCACTTCAGCGAACTCATCATACGTGTCAGCATTTATTGCAACAGAGGTCGCTTGTGTCAGAAGCGAACTCTGACACCACTAGCTTGTTGACACCTCATAATGCGTAGTTCGCTACTGCTCCAGCGACCTTGCATGCGTGGCAGTTTGGGAAATTGGTTCACGCGCGTGGCATTTTGGTATATTTGTGTGGGAACAGTGGCACAATGGTCATTGTTCCTAAATCTCATAGGTTATGAATAAAAAGTTTATTATTGAAAATTATGTCTTTTCATGTCGAATGAATGTGTTTTTTCATGTCGAACATATGTGTTTTTTCGTGTCAAACAAATATGTCTTTTCATCTCGAACGGATGTATTGTACGAAAATGTGTCTTTTGAATTGTGATCTTACGTTTTCTATAAATATATAGAGTCGGAATTTTAGTTTAGTTTTTTCTATGCATTGTACATTCATACCATAGTATTAGATAGTGTGATTCTCAGACATTCAATTGTGTTCATTGGAGCTTCTGATTAGTAGTGTCATCATACTGAAGACATCAATCCATTCTATTCTAAGAGGAACAAATTGTCTTAAGGAGACAATATCTGTTGGGCTCGAATTTATCTATATATTGAAATTTCTTTCATATATCATGTGAGTTCGTTCCTTATTTTTATTGCATTTTAATTGTATATTTAATTATAGCATCTTCATTCTACGGATTTAAATCTCTTGCTGATTATTCCCATTGTCTTTAACATCATATTCCAATAGACATAAGTAGTTAGAAAGATTCTGCGTAAAATCTTGGTGTTATATATAGAATTTATGACTTCTGAACTTAAGCCACACTCTTATCTGATTGAGCTACAACTATATTCATATGTGGGATTGTCAAACTATAACATGTTATATTTCTTATATAATGCACTGCTCTAACAACTACAACTTAGTCTTCCATGTAGAAGAATTCTATTGGAAGCTTACCCAATTTAAATATTGTTGGAATGGAAATAATCAAGTGTGAGTGAGTTGGTAAAATAAGTCCCACATAGGCTAGACTTAGACCAATTGAGGATCATATAAGCATAAAAGACCCATAAATCTATAGTTTTTTATTTTTTGAGTTGAGATATGGTATCAGTCCACTTATTGTGATTTCTTATTTGGTCCATTGGTGAATAAATCCTTTGCAAAGGTTTTGGGCTCCCCTGTACCATTATCCAACAGTGGTATCAAAGCCAACGATAATGATTTGGCTGAGCTAAGTATTTGGAAGGCCAACGATAATGATTTGGCTGAGCTAAGTATTTGGAAGGCCTCTGCTCTCTGCAGAAAGCTAGTGTGACCCTAATATTTGAAGAGAAAAATACTTAGGCTAGTGTGACCCTAATATTTGAAGAGAAAAATACTTCTGCAAAAGTTGCCCTTAGGATAAGAATGATATTGGACCTCACATTTGAAGGAGGAAGTTGAAAATAATCAAGTGTGAGTGAGTTAGTGAAATAAATCCCATATAGGCTAGAGTTAAACCAATTGAGGACCATATAAAAGTTTTGGGCTCCCCTCTACCGTTCCCAACAAATATTGTATTTCTCATATTTTTTATTTCCATATCACATGGATGGCTATGCTATTGTACAACACATCTTCAACCAGAGACAACTAGCAGAGAGGCCTCCCCAATATGTTGACCGAGTAATTTCTTACTTGGACTGATGTCTTAAAGTCCAAGTTCTCGTGGAGATTCATTTTTATATTTTAAATCACGCTTTATACTTTATTTATTAAGTAAAGTTAGCTACTCCTTCAAAACTAGGAACGATATTTTAAAAGTTAAATGACAAATATTAAGTAGGATGCTATTGAGTTGAGTAGGGTTCAACTTGACCCGAACTCAGACTTGATATTGGGATCGGGCTCATTTTTTTTTGTAAGATATGTATCCGATCCAATCACAGCGCAACTAAGGACTAAGTTTTTTTTTTTTGGTAGACACAACTAAGGACTAAGTTATTTCAATATTTAGACAAAATGTAAAAATTTTAAAATTGATAATTTTGCAATCAAGATTCATTATTATTTCCTTATCTACTTGTTTGTTTTTGAATTAGTTTATTTTTATCTTGATTGTTTAAAATTAGTTATATTATCTTATTAGTTGTTATCTTAACGAGTGTGGTTGTTGTTAATTCAAATTAGGATATCTTTATCTTTGTTGAAGTTGTTATCCTATATATCTAGTTAAGTGAGCACATAAAAAGGAAAAGAGGAAGAAAATAATTCAAGTATCTCTCCGAATATTTCAGTATCCTCCCTAATGCTCTTTCCCCAATCTTTCTATCTCTAATCTCTTTCTATATTTCCAAAATATTGGACAATTAAGATGAAGATAAACTAGTTTAATAACAAACTACTAAGATAAGGAAACGTGGAGGAATTTGATTGCTACAGAAAAACTAAAATTAGAAAAATGCTTTGCAATATATATTTCAAACAAATTATATCAACACAAAAATATTATCATATTATGTAAAATGCTTTGCAATGTACTTTGTTGGTGGGTGATATGTAATCTCTCTCAGAAATCCTCAAAGAGGTTGGGGATCTTCCCTGATTCTAGTGGGATACCGGTGTCTAACTGCACTTAAACTTTTAAGGATCAAAAAAAAATTAAAGTCTTATAATTATTACTAGTTTGAAAATAATTATAATTTTAAAATATTATTTAACATCGTGTAAAGATGAACCAACCCAAAACTTGACTTAAAAACTTATCAAGTCTAATGTTGATGACCCAAACCCTACCTAATTTTATTCTAAACTTGAAGGAAATTTTTAAACAAACAAATTAAGAAAACTGTGTATTTTTTTTTGTACATGAAAACTGTTTTTTTTTTTGGTAGTTTGAAAACTGTATATTTAATGTATTGAGTTTTGTGCCCCAAACGTCTAAAAAAAATAAAAATCCAAAATCAGAACATGATAATGATATAGCAAGACAAAACATAACGTGTAAGTTATATTTTATAAAACAAAACAGAATAACATATGTAATAACTCAATTAAAAGAAGAGTTTTATAAAAGTTATGTTGTAGGAAAAGTAATTGTGTAATGTTACAAAGATTTATTTTGTGTTCCGTAATTTTTTTTTCTTCAAAAAATATAAACCCTACAAAATATTATATCTGTAAAAAAAGTTTGAAAAATTTGTTGTTTCGTGTTATAAAAAAAAAATTCAGAACGCTATGTTTTATTGTAACCACACACGCTAATCCCAACATGCGTGTTTTGCCTCGTTTTTCAACAAAGGGATAGAGTAGCAGTACCGACATTATTACTGTCAACACCATCATGCTTGTTTATTTTCAGTGGTTGGCTGGCCACTATATATCTATGTCTTTTCCTCTGTCTCTCTTTTCTGTCAAAATCGGATAATATAAACACAGAATCAGACTGGGACGGCTTTTTGATTTGACAAATACGTTTTTTAAAATATTCTACTTGTTTAGTTGTTTCATTGAACATATTATTAGACTAATAAAGAAAGACACATATCAGGTAACTATGTAATAGTTACCTACCTGACACATGCGTATTTTATACGATGACAAGATACGGACATACCAGTACCAATTGCGCATCTAAACATGTTAATACTATGTAATTGTTTCAAACCATTCAGTTTGATTGCATCAGTCTATTCTGATCACGTCAGTATTAAATACTCATCTGTCTATCATATAATACACGCATATGTAAGGTACGCGATTATAGACGCATACGTCTTCCTGTTTTAATCCAATAACACGTTTGGTCAAAAAAACTAAACAAAAAGCATTGGTACTGTCAAGGATAATGGGCACGTGAATTGCTTCTTGTTTGGTCTTTTCAACGCTCTCCCTCCTATGTCTCTTCCTCTTGTTCTCTTCTATTCAAATTCTCAAATTTGCAATGCTTTTCATGCGTTTATTTTTTTTATATACGCGCGTGGCTGCTTCTTTGTTCTCACAGTAATGAGACTGATATAATAGTAAATAGTGCTTGTTGATCAAAGCTCTGTTCCAAGACAACTTTGAAAACGAGATTTCTGGGTTATTCTTCAACTGCGGACAATGTTGTTGCCAAGGGTAGCTCTAGTGTTGATTATAGCAACTCTGTGTACTGTGGAGGGTAGGCCTCATCGGATTCTTGTGGATACTGATGTTGATACTGATGATTTCTTTGCGCTGCTCTATCTTTTGAAGCTCAACAGATCAGAATTTGAATTGGAGGTAATGCAAATGAAGCAGCACTCACCATTTTCTCGTACTTGTTTTTATTAATTTAGTGATGGATTCAATTTTGTGGTGTTTTTTAAGTCTTTCCACTTGTATCTTCAGGCAATCACCATCAATGCAAATGGTTGGACCAGTGCCGGTCATGCTGTAAATCAAATTTATGACATACTTTACATGATGGGGCGAGATGATATTGCTGTTGGAGTGGGAGGTGAGGGTGGAATACTACAAAATGGTACCATACTCCCAAATGTTGGTGGATATCTTCCAATTATAGAACAGGTAATTGTTGTTTTGGTGAACCTTTTAAGTTTCCATAAATACATGGAGCATTGTGGACCACATAGTTAAGAGTCTGCTCAACCATGCCATTTATAGTTTGTGTAAGTGTAGTGAAGAAAATAACAGCAAATAAAAAGGAAAAAAGAAAATATTTATAATACTTAGTTATGTTCCTGTTAATTATTTGCATGTAATATGTCAATTTATTGAATCAGGGGTTGACAACAGTAGGGGGTTGCAGATACAGGCGTGCCATTCCTTTAGGTCTTGGAGGGCGCTTAGATATCGATGCAAACTATGGCATCAGAAAAGCTTTCCTTCCACAGGTATAATATATGTATCTTGTATTTTTATTATTATTGCTGGTTGTAGAATAAGATGCACCCTAAGTGATTTTGCATGTTAACTAACTCATTTGTTTTAATTGTTTATAGCCTAATTTTTTTATACTCATTTGCTTGCTGATTTCATCATGAAATTAGGGGAAAAGGAAATATACTCCACTGAGACAACCTACTGCTCAGCAAGTGCTGATTGAAAAAATATCCGCAGGTCCCATAACTGTGTTTGAGATTGGAGCACATACAAACATTGCAATTTTCCTTATGAATAACCCACACCTAAAGAAAAATGTGGAGCATATTTATATCATGGGTGGTGGGGTAAGGTCAAGCAACCCAACTGGTTGTTGCCCCAAAAATGCTTCCTCTTCCTGCGTGCCTCGGCAGTGTGGTGACCGTGGCAATATGTTCACAGATTATAACACTAACCCTTTTGCAGAGTTCAATATATTTGGAGACCCTTTTGCAGCATATCAGGTCAGTCATTAAACCTGTTCTTGCTCCAAAGTAATTATTAACACGCCTTAGTTAGTAATCATTGCATTCCGCAAAGTTGCACAAGTAGTAGTAATATATTACGAAAGCACCACACTTCAAAAATCTTGATGTGTTGTGTTTGACACTCTTCGACGCTTTAACACGCGTTGTAGAAATTCAAAAAATAGTTCAAAGGTTGTGTTACGTTTTTAGTTTCAAGTATTAGATTCGTTGGATTATAATTACCATTTTATTGAGTTTAATATAAATATTTGGGATATCTTATGTTTCTTTATAAAATTGATGAGTATTATAAGTTTAACTTCATTTTTTTTTTGTTAAATTATAGAATATTAAATATAATATATACTACATAAATTAAAAATATTATTTAATATCAAAACGTGTTTTAACATGTCGAAATCTAACATTTTTTAGAATTAATGTGTCGGAATGTCGTGTCGTGTCCCGTGTCGGTATCGGTGCTACATAGGTAATATACAAGACATTGCACTAGATTTTTTATTTTTCTCTTCGGAGTCATTTTTAATTTACTTTTATACGAAATTAATTTTTTAAATTTCATGAAATATATATATAAGACATTGTAAATCCTAAGTAATCCTATTAATGTTCCATTAATTTATATTGTCTAAAGAAAAAAATATATTTTTCAATTTCATTTGAAATAAATAATAATCATTATTGTTTACCTTAACCCATGATATCAACTGCAATCATCTTATTGTGGTTCAGATTTATGTACGTCATAATAAATAAAAGTTTTATGAATGTTTATATCAGAGAAAAATATATAAATAGCTACGTTCATGACAAAACAGTACATCTCGTTTTTTAGGTGATTCATTCTGGAATTCCTGTCACTCTTGTTCCTCTTGACGCAACAAACACAATTCCCATCAATGAAGAATTCTTCAATGCATTTGAAAAGAGTCAAGACACTTATGAGACCCAATACTGTTTCAAATCCTTGAAAATGGCTCGTGATACTTGGTTTGACAACGAATTCTATTCGGTAATTTCTTGATGATTTCAAACATGCCTATAATTTTTGGTTTTTTAGCATCTACTTTGATAGATGACTTAGAAAGGAACTAATATTCACAATGACTCATTGTTAGCAGAGTTATTTTATGTGGGACTCTTTCACAGCTGGTGTGGCTGTCTCAATTATGAGTAAATCCAATGACTATAAAGGGGAAAATGAATTTGCTGAAATGGAGTATATGAACATAACTGTAATTACCTCAAACAAACCTTATGGGATATCTGATGGCTCCAATCCATTCTTTGATAACGTAAAAGTTCCAAAGTTCAATCTAGAAAAAGGTGGGGTGCATAGTGGTCATATTCAACAAGGACTTAGAGATCCGCTTTGCTTTGTGAAGAATGGGAAAGGGAGATGTCAGGTAGTTGTTTTGCCTTTCAGATTGCAACTTTAATTTGTTGCATGCACACACATACACACACACATACATATGGCAAATGTTAATGTGTTATGTGCCGCAACATGTTCTATAGGATGGTTACACAGCAGAGGTACATGGTCCAGACTCAGTGAGAGTACTTGTTGCCCAAAAAGCAAAGCCTAATCGGGATGTTGGGAGTTCACTTGACAGAGAATATTTCAAAAGCTTCTTAAATGTATGTTCACTTTTTTGGGGTTTATTGTTCAAACTTCTTCAAGATTAAGCAATGACATTGTTTTATATGGCATGTGAGGAAAAACGCCCACTTACATGACAAGTCGTCTAGAAAGAAACTAATAACTAAATTATTTGTGCTCTGATTTTGATTGAATTCTTAAAATGATATATGTATCTGAAATTCTGAATCTGACTTTTGTTTTTTGGTGGGTCAAAGGTTCTAAAGCAACCCCAACATGCGGGGAGGTTCAACTTCACTACACAGTTTCCTTACTACAGAGAAGTAACTTACAAGCCAGATTTTCATAATAAAAGACTGGGGAAACCAGTTGTGTTTGACATGGACATGAGTGCAGGAGATTTTCTGGCATTATTTTACCTCCTAAAAGTGCCTCATCAAGTAATCAACCTTAAGGTATTCTAATTTTCATTTTTAATTGCTTCTTTGAATTGCTTGTTCTACATTAAATCAAATAGAAAAATATTTCTATAGTTACCGCAGATAAGTTATCTGCATCTACTCTCAAAATGACGTCGTTTTGGGATTGAAAGATTAAAAAATTATAATTATAAAGACTATAATAACCCTGAAATAAATTAAAATTACAAAAACACCATGATTTCTGCCCTAAAATGACGTCGTATTAGATTTACTGCAGAGAACTTATCTGCAATGACTGCAGAAAAAGCGAATCCTAAATCAAATATTGCACCGAGATTGGGAAAGGTTCCCAAATAAAAAACTCTTTATGTTTTTTTTTATACCGATTCTAATTACCTCTTTGAGGCGAGTTAGCCCCCAAGTATCCCCACAAACTTTAACTCTTTTAACTAGCTATTGGACTAATACGGAGTAGGAGCTTAGTTACTCTTAAAGCTGAGCTTTTCTACTTTTGATTAGAGCATTAATGTTACATGCTACCTGATAGTTAAAAACCCAAGTTTCATTCTGTTGATTTTTTTTTTTTTTTTTTTAACAACTGACTTATAGAGACATAGCATAGCACCTTTAATTTAGTTTCCTTGTGCCTTTGGCTTCAGGCAATCATTGTGAGCCCAACTGGATGGGCAAATCCTGCAACTATAGATATCATCTATGACTTACTGCACATGATGGGTCGTGATGATATCCCAGTTGGTCTAGGAGATGTTTTTGCAATGAATCAGTCAGATCCAACATTCCCAGCTGTTGGAGAATGCAAGTATGTTAAAGCCATTCCCCACGGGAATGGAGGGTTCCTGGACTCTGACACTCTTTATGGTCTTGCTCGTGATCTACCACGCAGCCCAAGAAGGTGTATTTTAGTTACTTTCATGACTTAGTATTGCTTATCATCATTACCATAAGAAATTATTGAAATCGTGTCGGCTATGCGGAATAGAAGCTGCTATTGCCACCAAAGAAATAATGAAATATATGTCATGTAGAAATGAATTAGACTAGGATTATTTTATAATAAAATTGGAATTGCTAGATAAATAGAAAATGCACCATGCCATGTTGGTACATAAAATCTGATAAGGCTTATCACCTGTATATGAGTGTTGTTAATTTCCCACTACTTTTGTGGTGTATAAGTAACATCATTTCAATCCCTGCCATGGGGACCTATTCCTATGTAAAGAAAGTGACATAAAGCATATTGTAAAGAAAAAACTGTTGAAAGAATTATTTTTCTTGAGTAATCTTATTTAATAATCTGTCAATTTATAAAAACTCACTCTTTTAGCTTTTTCACTAATAGTTTACTACTTGTATTTCGTCTTTAACCATGCAGTATGTAACCTTGGAACGTTTGTAATAGGGATTTTTACTGGTTTGCTCGCTTTTAAAAATTAGCAGTGTTTGTTCTCTGCAAGGAACTAACACATTCAGAACTATTTCAGGTATACAGCAGAAAACTCAGTGAAATTCGGGGCTCCTCGGGATACTGATCACCCTGAACTCAGACAACCACTAGCTATGGAAGTTTGGGAGTCTATATTGCAATCAACTAAACCAGGGTCTAAGATTACAGTATTAACCAATGGACCATTGACTAATTTGGCAAAGGTTGTAGCGGTGAAAAACATAAGCTCTAGAATTCAGGTAAGTCATAGTATATATTTGTTATCATCTTTTTGAAATAGTTGTGTATCTGCAAGAGCAATAAGCTGCTATGCAGGTGGACTTGAGAGAAATCCCAGAAAATTTATCTAGTCATTATGATAGAAGTTAACTTTTAGCCAAAAGGAAACACTGAATATTCTCTGAATTTAACATTACAGTTCAAATGTGCGTACTGAATGCATTGAATAACAATTCCAAAATGTTGCAGGAGGTTTATGTAGTGGGGGGACACATCAGCAGGAATGCCAATGACAAAGGAAATGTCTTTTCAGTTCCTTACAACCAATACGCAGAATTCAATATATTCCTGGATCCCTTAGCAGCCAAGACAGTGTTTGAATCAAAAGTTAACATCACACTCATTCCACTCAGTGCCCAGCGCAGAGTAAGTTCGTTTTCAACTATCATAGGCTGGTTGCATGGGACACCAAAGACACCGGAGGCTGTGTTTTCCAAGCGTCTTCTGTCTAGACTATACCGTTTGAAGCAAATCCACAACAGATATCAGCATATGGTATAAGTTCTATCCACAACTATTTTTTTTTTTTCTAGCTCAGTCCTCTTTCACATAACTTCAACTTTATAGTACTGCTTGTGACTGGACAACAAGGAGAATGAACCAACTTTAGAATCATTTTAACAGAATGTCTCCTTTAGAAGCATAGCGGTTTTAATAAACTGTATTTGGTAGAACTACATTATGTTTTCTCTCTACATTGTTTCTGCTGTTAAAGCCCTTAGTTTTTTGCAGGACACATTCTTAGGGGAAATTCTTGGTGCAGTTGTCTTGGCTGATAGCCTTTCTAGTCTTGATCCAAAGTTTGAGGTCAAACCCATTAAAGTCTTAGCTGATGGCGTTGAATCCACTAATGGAAAAATTGTGGTGGATGAGAAACATGGAAAATTAGTCAAAATTTTAAGCCAAGTGGATGACAAGGCTTATTATAATTTGTATGCTAACAAGCTTGGTGATCAGGACCAATCAGCTAAGGTAGGCAGCTTTGAAGAACAAAGTCGACAATGGAGTCATCCTTCTAATAAAATATAGAGGGCACTTGTTTATGATTATTCTCTGCCTTACAATAAACCGTCTTTTGTTATTTTATATACTGTATTTCAGTTGTGCGGCTGAGATTCTTCAGGATTGACTTTCACGTTTGATATCTGGAATGACATAGTGCCTTTTCCCCCTCCTCCTTACCTGCTTCAAGAAAATAGGATAGCATACCTAAAACAAAACGCAAGTGAAAGATTGACCTCAATCTGAAGCCAAACTTGCCCACCATCTTGCAGTTGCATCTAAATTCCAACGGCAAAAAAAAAAAAAAAAAAAAGTTAAATATCGGGATATATTTTGTTATTCCACTCATTTAGATCAGGTGTAAGTTCACGGTTTTCGCATGTTATAATTCAATCTACTTTCTACAACAATAACGGTTACACCTACTTTCCGTATTTAAGTTTGAGCCAAAAAAAAAAAAAAAAAGTAAGTACCCCCAGAATTTTTTTCAATCTTTTGGATGTTTGATCTCTACCATAAGCCAATTGTGAAATAACTACTATAACTTTCTCTATCTCATGTAGTTGAGACTTATTTCAAAATGGAAAAAGTGTGTATTTTTTTTTTTTTTTTATAACAAAAGTGTGTATTATTTTAAAGTATATAGAATTGTGTCAATTTAAGTGAGAAAAAGAGATAGATAAAGAAGGAGAGAGTGTGGATAAAAATATATAAAGATGTGGGTCTCACCTCTTTGTGATAGTAAAATAATATAAATTATGTCATTTAAAGGTACAAACATTTTTCCCTTTCAAAATTAGTACGTAAAGATTTGAAGCATAATTAATCCATTGGTTCGGTGTGAAATGAACTGTGCCCAGGAAATCTAAACGCAATGAGAAAGGGATAAGGAAGTTTACAAACATATTTAATTGAAGTTTCGATATGTTGTAACACAAGCCTCAGCCATAACTATGCCTTTTGTTCTACTCTAATTTATAATACAAACTCTCTTTTTTATCCCTCTCCCATGCTTCTCTTCCGATTTGTGCGCCTGTTGTGTTGCTGAATTTGGGCATGTTTTTGTGATGTATAAGGTTTGATAGTATAACCTTATATTATACGTTATGACATTTTCAGTTGTTTAGTGTGACCATCGTATAGTATAAGCTTATACAACAGAACCTTTTGCTACATCAAACAAAATGATGTATAACTTAATCAGGCCTAGGGGGTGGGATTATGTCTGATAAGGGGTTGGTGTATTAATATTACTTATAAGTACAATTCTCAAGAACTAATATATCATTTCAATATTAATATATTAAAATAATTTTTTTTAATATATTAATTTTTAAAATATTAAAAGTATAGTAGTTAAAATCGAGATTCTACCCAAAATCGGAAGGATGACTAAAAATCGTAAAACGTAAAACCCTAACGTACAAGAAATCGTAAAAGCATTTGGAATTTTGATGAAATCGTTTTGATTAAAAAAAATTGTAAAATCGTAAAATCGCATATTTAAATCGGGATTTTAACTACCATGATTGGAGGATATTATCTTATATAATACCATACCAAACACTGGATAATATTAAAATTTAATCAGATCTTATACAATCAAATCTTATACTATTAGATTTAATTTTATACTATGCATCAAATATGCCCTTAGGGCCTGTTTGGTGTGATGTATAAGGAATGATAGTATAAGTTTATACTATACGTTATGACATTTTCAATTGTTTGGTGTGACCATCGTATAGTATAAGCTTATATAACATAATCTCTTAATACATCAAAACGATATATAACTTAATCCGCCCTAAGGGTGAGGGATAAGACCTGATAAGAGATTGATGTATTAACATCGTTGACCAATGTAATTCTAAAAAATTAATATATTATTTTAATATTAATCTATTAAAATAAAAATTAATATATTGAAAAATTAATTTTTAAAATATTGAATTTTTTTTATAAAAATTAATTATATTTTGGACACGCTGATCAATAAATTTTTATAAAAATTAATATCATATGATATTTTTTGAAGAATTATATAAATTCTTTATTTAAGGATATTTTTATTCTATATAGTATTATACAGTGCATTACCAAATATTAGATAATATTATCTTATACAATATATTATTTTATACAATATTGTATCAAACGCTGGATAGTATTAAAATTCAATTAGGTCTTATACAATCAGGTCTTATACTATCAGATTTTATTATATACTATATACCAAACGAGCCCTTAATATCATTATGGCGCGCTAGGATGCTTATAACTAAAATTATTTAAATAACTATAATATTATTGAATTTCTGAAAATATTAAAAAAAATCATACAAAAATTTTTTTCATTCAATAATTTTCACATTAAAAAAAATCATGTGTGCTGCCATAACTGAAAGAGCAGACAGGTACGGCACAATTATCATGGGTACTTTTTTTTATATTATATATATATAGATTTTCTTCATTGCGTATCAGTATAACACGCCGCCTGATATTCATTTGACTGCTGAAGAATCATATCTTGTCCAGATTCCCCTTATCTTGCACGCCAATTTAAAAGAATAACTTGCCAACCCTACCCAGCTTTTTATTTCAAAATAAAGTGACTTTATGTTTCCATAATCTTTAACCAGTGTATTCCTTTAATCAATGAACGCCAGTTAAACGATAAAAACATTCAGTTTTATAGTGGAAAATATTAAAGTGACTTTGAAAGAGGAATTTTTTTTTTTCATTCGGAAATCTCAATTTTTAAAAATATGATAAAAATATTCAGTTTTAAATAATATTTAAAAATTAAAAATTTAAAAAAATTAAATTTCTCATAATCCTACAGAATACCTTGTACTAACAATATTATTAACCGTCTAACCCCAACAAAACAGTCGAAACGGTTTAGCTGGTCTACATCAGTTAAAGCGGAATTTTTTAAATGTACCAACGAATGTTGTGAAAACCGAACCAATCGGCCAAGTATTAGATTTAGTGTGATCCGGACTCATCCAGTTGATTTTTGCGAAAATTGATGACTCAACCCGGTTAATTTATATAAAAAAAAAATTTAATTTTTTTTATAATTTATATATTTAAGTGATTTGTTGCTTATTAACTTACATAAATTATGTACCTACAACGTTACTATTATCTCAATTATGTACTATGCAGAAAATTTTAATTTAATTTAGGTGTTGTTTAGTTGAGGAGATCTTGAAATTTTCTTAGACAAATCAACTTAGCAAAACACAATGTCCTTGTTGGATAGGGAGATTCATAAAAGTTGTCTATCTATGCCATTTGCATAGCATTTCCTCGTTTGACTTAGAAAGCTAGCCATTTGCACGGTTTAAAAAGAGAAGTTGGAGGTGATTTTCCGAGGAGAGCCGGCTAAATTGTAAAATGAAAAAGTAAAGCAACCGAAAATACCCTCCTAAAGTGCTAAGATATTATCGTAATAGCAATTTTTATGGGTAAAGGGTAGCATCTTGATTCATTTCAAATTTTAAAATAGGGTTATTTTTGTAATAACAACTTTTTTTCTCATCTATATTTTACCTACAGCTAAACATAGATTTTATAAATGTTACCTAATTTTTCCGGTATAATTTTTTTTAACCAAACAACTTTTTTTTACATTTTCCCACCAAACTCACTTCTCCCTCATTTCCCTGTCAAATAACATTTCTCTATTATTTATAAAATTTCTCCTCAACTAAACACCCCCTTATAGTTAAATATGTCATTTATTGAACCTGAAACATCAATATCATAAACATTATATGTTTGTTTGTTGATCCTTTATTGGACAATAATATATAACTTATTATTTTTATAATAAAATATTTAAAATTTATATTATTTTTTTTAACTATTTGAGTATATTTATAATTTTTTTAATATAAATTATAAATTTATATATAATCACTGGTCATATAATTTAATTAGTGACCCAATAATTCGATACCTCAACCGAATCAACGGCGATGGAATTAGTCCCCACCAAAATTTAACTTGTCTATATCAGTTTATGGAGATTGAATGACGACTTTTTCTTTCCCCAAAGGGAAACGTATTTGTGATCCTGGTTTTAAAAGAGTATCTGGTGCTATTCTCGCACCAAAGTTTGTCTCTCGAGATAAAGAGGAAAAAAGAGGTTTTTCAAAGAGAAAGAGAAGTTCTTGTCAACCTTCATTGAAGCATGCAAGAGATCACAAATTATGCTTTTTATTAAAAAGGTACACTTGATGGAAACTTTCTGATTTCTCTTTTCATGAAAATCGTACATTCGTGAGCAACAAGATAAAAGAGAATCTTCAACGAAGAAGAAGAGGGTCACAAAAAAAGCACTCTAATAAGCTTCTCTACAAATCCACTTCCTTAGAAACTAAGTTCCATCATAGGAACTGACCCACCGGATGCCACAATCTGTTGCTCAAGCTGCAACAAATATATACACAACATGAATATAAATTACAAATCTAGAATGAAACAGAATATTCTTCAACTAGAGTTTTTTTCCTCGTTACCCTGAGCAATGTTTCAAGCTTATTCTTGACATGGCAGTACTCTTGCTTAACTTGTTGCAGACATCTAAGGCACCTGCAGCAATTATAAATTTTTCAATGGCCAGAGTATGAAAAATACCTCCATTCCTCTTCTACCAGCATAGCTATGCCCAAATGGCTTTGTTATTCGACCTTTAGTACTCTCTACTCTTCAATAGTCTAAAAGTTTCAAAATAAAAGTTGTGAAAAGATAAATAACTTACGCGTCTATGTTCTGTTCCTCACAGAAGTTGCGAAAAGCAATGCAAGAATTTTTTACCCTCTGTGCGCCTATGCTGTGGACCAGGCATAAAATTATCTCAGCAAATCAAGGAAAGATAACCATATTTTAACTGAAAACGAATTGGTACTGGCCTTTTGGTTTCTCCTAATTAAGGTCAATATCCAAACTTGATTGGTTTGTTGAGTCTTATGATATGTAACTCGAGTTCTTTAGGAACCAACAAGTACACAACTAGTTCCATTTGTTCCGATTCTGAGGGTTTTTTTTTACATTTTTGGTTGGGATAAATGAAAAGTCATACCTAGAGCTGCTACCCTTCAACTGGTGAACATGAGCATCAACTTTTTTGAAGTCAATACTTTTCTGATCTCTGCACATGAAAAATCCAAAGAATTTTCCGAAGCCACTAATTACCACTAAACCTTGCCCAGTAAACAACATTCTAAATGATGAAAGAGAAGGGGAAGGATGAGATCATAGCAAACTCACAGAGCAAAGGTAAGATCATTGAGAAGCCTCTCAGAATCTTCAAAGAAGAGAGACGCCACTTCAAACACAAATTCTGGGTTGTTCTCATCTTGTAGCTGCTGAAGTTGTAGAAATTGACCATCCAGGAAGCCCTTTTCTCATAGTAAGAAAATCAAGATCCACAAAATCAACAAATGAAAACACCCCAAAAGATCTAACTGCAAACAAAAGCAACCCTACCCCATAAACGTAAATGTATTGGAAATACTGTTTGTTTGCTTTTACCTCCATGAATAAGGATTTGATGTAATCCAACCACTGTCTCTGCATCTGACTCACCTCCATGCTCTCTCTTTGCCTTTTGCCCTCTGTTCAGTGGTCACCCAACCCAACACAAGCAGTGGCCCAGTATAATTTGTGCCTTCAATCTCAGATATTGAGGAATTATTGCTCAATCCAAGGTTTTTTTGTTGTTATTCTTTTTTTTTTGAAAAACTTTTTGTGTATCTGTTTTCTATCTGTATCTGAGAGTCCAACACCTCTTTTATTCTTCTCTAGATTTGTGCTCTACTTTGGTGCTTTCGTGCGACTCCAGCACTTTCTACTCTTCTTTATTCATCATTCCTGTCCATACAATATTTATAAGAAAATACATTTTTTATTAGTTGTTATCTTAAAAAAGATAAGATAAATTTATAAAATAATGTATTCTCTTATTTTTTTTAATATTATATAATTTGTTTTCTTTTTAATATAATAACTATTCATTTGTCATGTTATTACAAGATTTATTTTCCCGTTATAAAAATAGATTTAAATTTTATGTTTATAGATAAAATTATTTTCTGCACACATAAAAATATATAAAACTTATATTTTTTTCTCTCTTCTCTTCACAAAATTTCACATAGGCTCCATACACCACTTATATTAACGTGTTAGAGATAATTTTATCTCCTATAAAAATATTAATAAACCTTCTATGAATAAAAATATTTTAGATTTATAATATAATATTATCACCTTAATAAATAGGAGAATATATTTTTATGTTGCATTGTCTCATGCAATACATAAAATAGTGGATGAAATTCATTAAGGAGAAGAGCTTAAAAAAAAAGTGAGGCTCGTCAATTTTTCGTGTGTTGTGTTATGCAAAAAATTTTCATGTAATATAAGAAATATTTATTTAAGGGATTTAGTGTTTGTTCTTTTATTGTGATTTGAATCAAAACTATTGTTTTTTATGATAAGAGAAATAAATATTATGGTAGAAAAAAGTGAAAAAATAATAATTTAAATATCCAATAAAAAATAATAATTTTAACTAAAATTACTGATAACATCTAAAACTATTAATATAGCATCTTTTGAGAGGGCTTCTCATACTCTTTGGTATGATTCCTTTCTAGGAAGTAAATTAAAGTTTTGATGCAAAGCAATGACATAAATGCAAATTCTCTGGATACCAAAAAAATAAAAATGCAAATTCTCTACCACTTCTAAAATTAAGTATGGATTCTTTTTCCGTCTTTTAAAAATATAAATATCATCATTTTAATTTTTTTTTAAATACGTTATTTAATTCATCATTCATAAAAAGTATTACAATCCTTTTTTTCATATAAATTGTAAAGTTTAAGAACTAAATTGGTATAATTTTTTCACAGTTAAAGAACTACTTTAATAGATGTATAAAAATAACTATTTTAATATTAATTTATATAATTAAATACATCAAAAATATTATTTTTTATAACTAAAGAACTACATTACTATTAAAAGTTAATAAAATAATAACAATTATACTTTTTTTTGAAACCTGAAAAAAAAATTACTCTAAAAGTAAAAAAAAGTTGCATAAATAGATATGATTTCATTTTGATTTATTGACTGAAAAATGCTTAACGTAACGACTTTTTTTCCCACGAAAATAATACTAAGGATGAAGACCGTTGATTGGTCTTTATAAATAGTTTCGTGTTGAAAAATGACTACTCTTATTTGATTCCACACTCAAGTGAATTCTATACTATAATTTACCTTGAAAAATATTAAAATTGTAATTACAAATAATTTTTATTTGTCATAAAAATCACACTAATAATAATTTTCGTTGTTTTATAAATACGAAATAACCAATGAATAAAAATGCTGAATCCCGCATAACAGCACTATCTGAAAAGCTAACCACTATAATGATGTAGAATTACTTTACAATCCAGGAAAAAAGAGAACAAATCAAGAACCAATTGAAATTTGAAACACAGGTAGAAATACCATGTAGAATCTGGAAAGCAGTTACTAAAATTTTTAACATGCCTTGCAACTCCTTCTACAATACCCGGGTAGGTCTGAAGATCCAACCATATACTCAGGATTGTTAGTGCATTCTCCAAGGGAAGCCCATCTCTCACAGCTTTCATGCTGATCAGAGCAGTCCCCTCCAGCTCCCACCGTCTTATCGAATGAGTCTACATGAATCCACTTTGTTGCTGACCATTTCTCACCTTCGATTACTGGGCATCCTGCATGGAGACTGCTAGTGTCTGGGGTAGTATTTGTGTGAAGACTGAAGAAAAGAAGTGCGTCCCCTCTACGCGGTTTCACTATGCACCCAGGTATGAAGAGAAAAACAATTACTTAGCATGAGTTGACGGGCAGACAATGTCACATGAAATATAAGAGGAAAACCCATAAAAGTAGACACTTATCAAGTTGCCCACCTGCTATTCCTTTTTTGGCACACTCAGAGAGATCATTACTTGTTTCAGAACCTCTGCGACGTGGAGATTCCTGTAAGCAGAATGACAATTCAGAAGCTATCACAATTAGCTATTGGTAATGAAAGGTTGAAACAATTTCCTCTATAAAACTAAAACAGTCCAGATCCACCCTTTGATATCATATGAAGAAAAAAACTACAACCCCTCCACCACTCCAAGCACAAAAAACGAATAGCTATAGCATAACATGTATCTTCTACAAGTACAGACACAATATATACTGCCTGTCCGAGTATCCAGCCAAGGGGTCCCCCAGTCAAACTCACAAACTTCTACCTCCAAATTTTCTGCTCAGTTTCAAATAAAATATTACCATCTAGTCAAAATATGAGAAAAATTCATATACAGATTACGATCCCAGGCAAGAAATTCCGGCACACTGAAAAATAGAATTATTCATTCTGACAGATTCAATTGGCACAAGAAAACTGTACTAAATGAACCCAGCTAGACACTAAGACCACTCAATCAAGAAAAATAAATTTTGACAAACTATAACTGCAATGATTTTCCAATAATACATTTTAAATTCTGAGGAAAGAAGTGCACCAAACACTAATTTACTATACAAACCTCTGCATCAGGGAACACTGTTTCACCACCTCTGGTCACATCAGTGAGATACATGAGAACAGTTGCAACCCGGTGTCCACCCCGAGCTATATTAACTTTATCAGCGAAGTAATCATAATGCGGGTCATATTTCTGCCCATGCTCATATCTCAATACTTGTATGTCTTCCCCATTTTCTGAAATTCAATCATAAAATATTACAAGGAAACTGATTAGTCCTTGACTGCTTGTTCACATCTATCTATCTATCTACATATATATAGGACAGGGGAAGGAAAAGAATCCGGACCATTTTCATCACTTAACTGATCATACAGATACAGTTCATTCTCTTCTGCAGTCCCTAGCTATGCAAGTTACATAATTATTTAACGTATGGAGATAATTTGCACAGAGATACTACTGATTCCAAAACACTTTTGATCCTCGACTAATGCATCACTTATAGATGTAGATCATCTATTCTAATTTTTCTCAATTAAATTCAAACAGAATTAATATTATTAACTTTGCCAGTTTTCACCTGCTCAGTAAATATTACTAGCTTTCTCATTCACATGAAAACCTGAACATAGTCAGGTCACGATTACTTGATTGGTATAGAGCAATCTACTTTTTATCTTTTACAGCCCTTTATTAATGGACTTCCACTTAAAGCCAAGGAAAGCAGTTACAAAAACAGCAAGTGATGACGGATAACCACAGAAAAGCTAGAAATTTCTTTTCATATTTTGACAATAAGAAACAAGCATTGCCACTCATTTTCACGAAAAATCAAACATTATGGAACTAGAAAGCAAATAAATTGGTGATACCGAAACACAAGTATAATTACTGTAGACCCATCAACAAGCAAGTAATAATACAAACCAAATATTCAGCATTGACAAAAACAAATCTGGAGTAGCCGGAAATAAAAATATAAGTCCAAAAAATTTTACAAGGACACAACAATATAGCGTACCTTTAGGAAGAAAGGTCCATGATGAAATCTTGTCCTCAATACCAGCAATAATAGGATCCTATAAATAAATATGAACAAAAAATTCAAGAAAAAATAAATAATGAAAAATTCATTACATCAAACAAACAGAGGCAGAGCTAACAGAGAAAGAAGGGAACCTTGTTCTTGGAAATGAACATCCCAGAGCTTGTTCGAACTTCACTTAGCTTGCTATCTCCAGAGAGATTATCCGCTACGGCAGATCTCTTCAGCTCTGATTTCGCCTAAATTAACAACCGAAACATGGATAACAGAAAAATTGACAGCAACAGAGTTAAGGATTTCGCATAGAGATATTTACTCACTATAGAGATCAAGTGATCGCATTCCAAGTCCGTGAGGAAACCTTCATAAACGAAAGCTCTGCACATATGGATTTGAGTTTCATAAACTTAATTGCGAAATCGGAATCGAAATCGAAATTGAAGCGAACAGAGAAAGCAATGCGAAAGATCGAAGAGTAGCAAAAGAGACCTTGGCTTCCAGGAAATCTGTTTGACCTTAGAAGGGTTGATGATGGAACTAGCAGAACCCGCGTAGGAGCCGCAGACTTCATAGGATTGGGAAATCAGTAGCAGGAATAGCAAAAAACAAACCCTCCTCATTTCCGTTTCGGATTCGCTCTTGAATTTTCCCGGAGAATGCTTTCTCTCTCCTCTTTCTTACTTTATTCCTCTTTCTATTTTCTTCCCAAATCAACTCTCTTTTTGTGTGGGACCAGACCAGAGGACTTAATCTCAACTCTCTCTTTTTTCTTTTTGGAATTCACTTAATCTCCACTTTGATTTATATGTTCTTTTTATCTTCCTTTGGACATTGATATTTTTCAAGTGAAATATTAAGGGGAAAATGTTATTATTTTATTCTAAAAAAAATAAAAAAAAATCAGTTTTTTCATTTAACTTTTTAGTTGAAGAAAAGAACAGGTTATACTCGCTGTTAATATAAGTTTACCCTTGGGCTATGTTTAATGTAATATTTGATAATATAAGACTTGATAGTATAATATCTGATTGTATAAGACCTGATTAAATTCTAATAATATTCCGCATTTGATATGGTATTGTATAAGATAATATCTTCCATTGTTTGATAATACATTGTATAATATTAGATAAGATAAAAATAAATACTTTTGACAAAAATACCTTTTAATAAAGAATTTATATAATTCTTCCAAATGTCATAAAGAATCTATAGAATTCTTCCAAATGTCATATGATATTATTTTTTTATAAAATCTATTGATTAGTGTTTCAAAAAATATATTAATTTTTTTAAAAATAAAAATATCCAATATTTTAAAAAATAATATATTGAAAAATTAGAATTGCGCTGGTCAACGATGTTAATATATCAACCTCTTGTTAAGCCTAATCTCATCCCTTTAAGCCTGATTAAGTTATATATCATTTTAATATATTAAGAAATTTTACTATATAAGCTTATATTATACAATTGTCACATTAAACAACTAAAAATATCATAATGTAGTATAAGCATATATTATCAGGCCTTATACATCACACCAAATAGGTCTTTAATATCATTTTTTTCACCATTTTACTATTAATTTAAGTTTATTACCCTTATTATCAATTTTTCACCATTAGATCAAATTTAGAATTTGATGTTCCTTTCTTCATTTTCACGTTCTTAGCTTCCAATTCCATCTAGGTTTGTGTTCCTCATGCTGCCAACTTTTGTCAGCCGAAGTCTAGTTTTACATTTTGTGGGCAAAAATTTGAAGCCTCAGAGCGACTAAATAATAAAAATTAAATTTAAATGAATATAATTTTTCATATTACATGAAATAATTTATCTCAAGTAATGCATAAAAAAGTGAATCAGACCCATCAAGTAGAAGAGAGAGAAAGAAAATAAGTAAATCTCATTATTTTTTTATATATTGCATGATATAACCTGAAAAACTATATTCCTTAAATTTAAAAGTAGTTGTAAAGCGACAAAAAAACATTAGAATTGAAGAAATTAAGTGAAAATGACCCTACAATCGCTAAGGTGAATTACCTCAAGTAAGTGGAGTGTGAAAAACAAATTAATATGGAAGAAATAATTTCATTGAGAAATATTATGACTGGTTAGTTAAAGCGGCAACGATTAGATCTATGTATATCAATTTTCAATGAAATGGGTATTTGTCAAATTTTATTAATTACTTTACATCTAACTCAATTTCTCAATCAGTCATTTTATATGTATACGAGTTATGAGAAAGAAAACTAATGCATACACCAGCACTCAAACGAGATTTTCAAGGGACAGCGAGCCAATACCTAAGTTCCACCTTTGTATAATAAAATTCATTTTCATAAACTCTTCATAGATTCTTAAAGTAAGGAAAATATAAATAGAGAACTTAAAAACTTAATGGCTTAATGATTTGGGTTAAAACACCGAACTTTCTTGTGGTAAATTGACACATAGCCCATTAATAGTGATCTTCTGTGCGTGGGCTCCCTTGACCGCCTAACGATTCTAAGAACTTAGCTAGAGCATTGAAAAAAAGGGGGTGGGGAGTTTATATCAAAATTACTTGCATGAATGTCCATGAGCAATTTGGCAAGATAAAATAAGTACAAATATAATTTTCCAGAAGAAAGACATATTACCCAATGCATAGCATTGGATGAACAAAATAATAGAGTATGCATCCCCTCACTACTACAAGGAAACCAACGGCAACCCTGCTGTCCTACCCAGAAATGCCATTCGTCAATTCCAATTTACAAGCTTTCATGTTCAAAAAATTGTTCTATCACATAATTACATGTAATATACAGTGGGGAAAAAAGGAGTTGCTATAAGGAGAGGAAAGTATCCGTTATTACAAACTCGAAATAAAACTTTCCTTAGGCACAATGTCAATGGACATTGCGAGTAATCAATCCCTCAAATATATCGTACAAGTCCTTGTTTTCAGTCCCAAAAATTTCATCCGCTTTTTGTAGCGTCTCCTGCAATTTTACACACACAGATAAAGGTGTCAATTAGCTGAAAAGGGGAGGAGGGATGGGAGAGGATCACGGGAAGCATGAGAGAGGAAAAGAGACAGGAGCACGAGGAATTACCTCTCTTGTTTGTTTATGGGAATTCAGTTCCTTAACATTTGCCAAGAATGCACCAAACTGGTCGTAAGACAAACGATTCCTAACAACAAACAGGAGATAAAAATAGAGGACCCCACTATTAAGCGCAAAAGTTAACATTTGTGCTACCAGATTCAAGTGCTGTTAAACGATAATGACATAATCGGATTTAATTTGACAAAATGATGAGCCGTTTCACAGTAGCATGGCTAATTCAAATATTTTGTAATTGTAAGCAAAAGATGAAATTATTTTGATTTGAGGAGCTAAACAAGGATCCATTACGTAAATTTGCAAATTGGTTGATAGGTGAAAATTACTTTTCACAACTGGTGGGTGCATAGCGAAACCACCTATCCTGAAGACGTCCTTCTAAATTATGGAAACTTCAGCATGCACGTGGACAAATGTTTACGTGCTCAAATTAAATCTACATATGTTGCCATTGTTCAGAAGAACTTCAAGTTTCTGAACTAGGTTCCCTAACCTTCAAAGTTCAAAGAAAAGGGCCCTCACCTGACTTGGCGAAAGAACTCCTTCCCATCCACCCGTGTTCGTCCTATGACACCTAGTAAGAAAAAGTAAAATGAGAGAAAAACTCGTGACCCAATGAAAACATTCTTAAATGGCTGCAATGTTGGAAATATCAATTGAGCATCTATTTCTTCATATGCATACAAGATCCATGAAAATAATCCACTACAGAGTGACCTAATAAAAACAATTCAAGATACAATCTTTTTGAACAAATGCAAGGGCAGCAAAGTTGGAATAACTCACCAGTTTGTGATCCTGTTCCAGGATCAGAGCTTGATATACCGTGACTTAAGGGCATCGAGGAAAACATTGAAGACCTATCATCATACATGCCTCTTGAGGTTGAAAAGGAAATTGAATGTCGCCTTGGAGATACTGATGCAGACAGACTAGGAGGGGAACCCGGGGGAGTAATCCGAGGGGTGGTATTTTGGGATGCTAAGAGGAGATTATGTGGTACTCTGGGTCTTATGGCTGCAATGTTGGAAATAAGAAAAGAAATGAAAGAAAGGTCAGGATACACATGCAAAATTATAGTTGTTCATTTTTCAGCAATATCAAAACAATGAGACACCATTCTATCTTCTTTGGTAATCCAAACCCATTCCCTCATAAATTATACTACATACCTTCATATTCATGATCCTCAGCAAAAGAATTTCCTATATCAGGAATATAGGTTTGCATTGAAGAAGATATAGAGGGCGGCAATGAAGCATCATTATCTGCAATAAAATGAGAAAAATACAGCTGAAGGACCTCAACTTTAAGGGTCTCTTTGCAAAAGCAGGAAATGAGGGCTATGGAGGGGAAAGCTTACTAAAAGTAGAAAGGTTTCCCGACATTCATCTCCCTATAGCCCTCTCTCTCTCTCTCTCTCTCCCTCTCCCAAACAGAAACTAAATTGTTTTAATCAGTTCCCTCTCCATCAAATTCAAGCAACTCGTTGATGTCAGATTCGTTAAAATAGTTAAATTGTTTTACTTACAGCTTATGCTTGGGATTCTCGGCCAACATTAATGGCAGAATTAGACTAATAGATCAAAGATTTTACGTAAATAATTAAGCTATTTTCACTCTTTATAGTTATATGTTGGAAAGGCGAGAGGAGGACATATTTGGATCCTCTTGTTTTCTTTCGCAACATGACATTATAACGTACAAAGAGAGAAAGACATATACAACTCCTATGTCTTAAACGATATTCCAAAGTCTTCAGCAGGCAGTTTTCTGAAGTGCATACCAATTCCTTTATAGAGTCCTGATGGTAAGGAAATGAGGTTGTGAAAATTTGATGTTGCTTCATTTCCGATGATTCTAAACTAAAAAATAAAAGTTAAACCCAGAGCACTTTACATGAATAAAATAAATTAAGCAAAGGGCGTAAAAGCAATTTACATAGGAGCACCAAGAATAAACAAAAATAAAATGTTGTAAGTACCTCCAAACTGTGACGTGGAAGTCAAACTTGATTGACTCTCTATTTTTGCAACAATGTCCGGAGCTCCTCCCTACGCCAAACACCGGTAAAAGCCCCAAGTTACATAAGGAAATACCCTTGAAACAAAGAGCATTAGCTAGTGCTATCATAAACAATTCATACATGACAATAAGTATAATTCAGTAAGATATGAACCCATTGAAAAAGTCAAAATTATTCCATGAAACTCATGCACAGAATACCAAACTCTCTTCATCAAACCCAAACTAAAAAGCTAAGCAATACTGACAGCAGCATTAAATAACAAAAATAGTAACTTACAGAATTATCATCTTCCTCCTGAAGTGATTGCATAAGAGTCCTTCTGAAAACCTCTAACTGCATGTATTTACAGGAAGAGCTCATAAGTCCAACAATCACCCACATTCCATAAAGTAAGACCACAATACCATAACTATTCAACTTAACAACCCTGCTCCATTCCATCCAAAATTTTACTCAAATCACTCTACTATAATAATATCATTGTCAATTTCTTATTTTACTATCATTTTCATACTTTTTTTTATTAAAAAAATTATAGGTAACTAACTTAAATTAAGTTACCAAAGCAAGTTAATCCAAGCCAAAAATTTTGAGCCTACAAAAAAATGGTTTATAACTAAATTCAGTTCTCATAATAAAACCGAGTGAAATCAAACGCACCTTGGAAACATCTCGATTGAGCTTTCTGACAATATTGGAAAGCGAGGCATTCTCCTTGAGCAAGCTCGCCTATAATTTCAAGCACACACAAAAAAAAAAAAATTAAAAAAAAAAAAGTGAGAGAGATGGAGTGAAACTTGGTTCTGGCAAATTGAACCCGGTTCAGGGGTTGGTTCGGACCTTATCTTGTTCGGTACGGACGAGCTTGTCGGCGATTTCGGAGAGGGAGGCGTCGAGGGACTCCATCTGAGATTGAAGCTCGGCGATGAGCTTATCCTTCTCGGCGATCCTGGCGCGAAGCGCAGATGACTCTGATTCGAGTGCGTTGACACGTGTCGATAGCGCAATGGAGGTGATCTTGCGGGCCACGTCGAGCTGCTCGAAGGGATCTGACGGTAGCACTTGCACGACATCCTCGGGAAGATCGAAGTTCGAACTCCCCGATTCCGCCGCCATCGTTTGTTTATTTCTTCCAGTTTTTCCTCTTCTTTCTTTTAAAAAAGAAAGAAAAATAATTATCTTATACTGTAGTAATAAAATTATAATTGAAATTTATAAATAATAAAAAATAAAAATAAAACTCACCTATCTTTTTAAGTCTAGAAAATATAATTATTTAATGTAAAGTAAGATAAATATAACTTTTTAAAATATATATTATTAGAGATAGAATATTGCGACACAAATAATGTTACGCACAATATTACGATCACATCGTAACCGTTGATTTCCGTCAATCAACGGTTATCATTTATTGTGAATTAATAATTAATTAATGAGTTTGATTTGAAAAATGATAATCGTGATTGACGGAAATCAAAAGTTAAGATGTGATCGTAACATTGTGCGTAACATTATTTATGTGTCAGAATATCCTATCACGTATTATTATTAAGGGAATATGTTACTAACTTTTCTTCGTCCAAGTTTTATGTTTGGCATATTTTATCTTTGGATTTGTGTGCTGTGAGAGCGTTGTTCTCTGTCTTGAGTTAGTGGTGTCAATATGGACAGCACAGAGCGGAATTGGATCGTCAGATGGATACAGAAGTGTCCTAAATAGTTTTTTATTTCATTTTTATTTATACAACGAATATTTTTATATTCTTTAATTTGACGCCAAAATATGTCGCTTCGTAACGCTGGAAAATGGATGTGATCACAATTCACAACCCAAGAAGAGACAAAAAAGTTTCTCACTTACTTGTTATGGATTCACTGTTTATCGTGAACTAAAAATAACAATTTTGTTACCAAAATAAATTTAAATTTGAGAAAAAAAATATAAATTTGAGAAAAAAAATTATAGTAATAAAAATTAATCTCAAAATAAAGAAAATTATAAATATTTTAACGTTAAAACAACATCATTTTGATTTATCATAATCAATAACTATGGAAAAACATTAAATCCAATAAACAAAAGAAAATATATATGTTATTTTGGGTTTGGTAAGAAAAGTAAATATCGGGTATTCAAAAAATTTACTTCTTTTTTATATAATGAATTTTATTAAAATATTCTGTATTTTTTTTTCTCAACCTCAAAATAATATCGTTTTGAAGTTGTGAAAAATTATTTTATCTCCTCTAGTAGGAAAAAGTTAACTCCATAATTAATTAAAATATTTAATAATATAGCATGTAATTTTTTTAAGAAAAATAAATTAAACTATTAAACATAAAATGATATACTTTAATTTACTATATAAAATGGAAATAGTTAGAACTTTAAGAAAAAAATTTATGTAGATTTTTTTAAAATAAATTAACAGTTGAGATTTAACGGCAAAGTTACAGAACGTAAAAAATCAAAATGAAATATTTTGAAAGTATAAATAATTAATATTTAAAAAATAACGTGATAAAACTAAACAAAAATAATGAATTTTAGAATTGAATAACAAATATTAAATAACTGTTCTAACTTCTATCACTTCTGACGAGTGATCCCCATCTTTTTCTAGTAGGGACTAGTACTACGACTCTACGATACAAAAAAGAGTCTTTCTTTTCTTTTCGTTAATGCGGTATGCTTCATTGGATTAGGCCCTTCACAGTTCATAGGCATTGCAAGACTCGGGCCTTGTATAGCATACTTTATATTGGAATGGGCTTTATATATTCATCCTTACTGACCCAAAAAATGTCGATTCGACTGTCAGCCTGAGATATGCAATTAACGAAACAGTTATTTGTTCACGCTACTAATGATCCTAATGATAAGGGTTTCGATGGGATGAAGTAACATTTGTATCAACTATAGATGGGAAAGGAAACCGGTATTTTTTTTTTTGTACTATAAGGAAATCGGTATTTTTACGGGTTTTTCACTTATGCGCTAATTATAAATAAAATTTTTTGCAACAAATATATTTACATCAAAATCTGTATTTTTACAGGTTTTTCACTTTTGCGGTAATAATAAATGAGATTTTTTGCAATAAATATATTTACATCAAGATCCGCATGTATTTAAACAAACAAAAAAAGCTAGGATCCGCATGCGAAGCCAAAAGAAAAATTCAGACAGTGTCAAGGTTATATTATTTTTAAAAATTCAACTAATATTAAAGCTGTACCATAATTTTTGAAAAAAAACATGAACCATTTTTTTAAATTAGCTGATGTGAAGGCACTTGCTCTGCCGCTGTTTCTATGTGTTGCTGAAATATATTTGCCTATTTTTATTTACCTTTCGTGGAGGGGATCATCGCAAAGAGTCACTGGCCAATTATTGAATAGGGTGTTCTTCTAGTCGTTCAGCTTCTCTCTATGGCCATAACTTTTGGGTTAGCATTTGGCACTTGAAAACTTAGTACCTTTCTCTTGACATTCCTAAGCTAGTATCTATGGTTTTGAAGTTGATCTGTTGAAAGTATAACGACTAATCGAATTTGTTAGATACGAGAGGGATCGCATTTGATATACCCTTTGATTTTTTTGAAAATATTTTAAAACAAAGATCCAATAAAAAGAATATAACATTTTAATGATATAAATACAAACATATTCATTAAAAAAAAAATCAAATGTCTCCTTAAGTTAACGCGTCACCTGAAGATACTTATTAATCAGAAATGTCAAAAAAAGGCAGCTCACGAGTCACGGGAAGACAGCCAAAAAAGGATCCGCAAGACTTGAGTCTTCTTTATGAAAAGCATAAAAATTGGTCCAATGACTCTCATTCTTTGTTTCAGTTTCATATTAAATTGTTTTCTCTGTTTAGGAGGATGCTTCCACTACTCCTTCCCTTTTTTTTTTTTCCTTTTTCCTTTATATAAACCCAAAGTATTATTTTTATTTTGCATGTTTATAAAACATTTTAAGGAAAAGGAGACACGAAACAAAGAGAGGACATTAATCGCAATTCCCTATATATTCTGTGAATGGCTTGTTTGACCCCACAATTTAACAAAAGTATACTATTTGTTCCCACTGGTTCCTTATTTATTTTGCTTTTCTATTGAGGAAATTATTGAAAGGAACCGGTGGGGACCAGCAATTAAGTCTACTCATTTATTTGTATAATGAACATATCAATAATAAAAAAAAAATTCTAAATAATAATAATTTCATTATAATTATAATGATTGATTTGATTATATATTTGAAAATAGTCGGCCGTGGAAGATGCTCATATTAAGGAAAAGCTTCTACATCCGATTGAATGTTATAAATCAAGGAAAATGTATCTCTAAGGAGAGAGAAAAACTTTTTTTTATGGTGTGGTAGGTTTATATATATATATATATATATAGGAATTTATGTTTGTTATGTTACATGATGTAAGATAACAAACTTACCTATACATTTGAGAGGAGAGAGAAAAATCAAAAGATGGAACCCACATAAAATTGTGTGTATAGGAAAATAATGTTACATCATGTAACGTAACAAACATAAAACTCATATATATATATATATGGTGAGGTTTATATCAATTTGTGTCTATTGGGAGGAACTAACTTCTCCTTCAAGAAAAGAAATTATTATTCCATAAATAAAATAAGTTCTATTTACTAAAAATTTTAGCTATCCATTTTAGCATATTTGTTTAAGAAAATCTAAGAGAGTACTCAATTCCTTTCCTAGATGCAAGTGGGTAAATTGTTTTTTGTTTTTGGCTGAATCGCTTAAGTGTGGAAACGACGATATAAAATGTAAAAAGGAAATTATTTTCTAATATTACATGCAATGTTGTTAAAATTGAGATCTTAAGTAAAATTAGAAAGAGATTAAAAAATCATAAAACGTAAAATCGTAATGTAAAAAAATCGCAAAAAATGATAAAAACGTAAAAGAGTTTGGAATATTAGTAAAATTATTTTGATGAAAAAAATCATAAAAATATAAAATCATAGTGATAAATCGAGATTTTAACAACAATGATTACATGAGAAGAATTATCTTATCTAATAGACATAATGTAAAAACACCAAAGCAGAAAAAATGAATCATAAATTTCTTTTTTTTTTTCATTTACTCCTCCTTTTCCTATCTTTTTATAGTGAAAATTGAACTATTTTGATTCAAATTACTTATAAGATTAACTACTTTAAATACATTTTAAATGTTATCTTTCTTATACGTGTCAAATTAAAAACATTGTGATAATATCAAAGTAACACTTTATCTTTCTTAAAGGGGAAAAAAAGAAGATTCACCTAAAAAATTAATGTAAACACACTCACTCAAAAGATTTATTCGTATAAAAACTTTTAAGAGATGATTCCAGAACTTAAAAAATATTAAACCTCATTCAGAACTCTTAAATGATCAGTTGAACCAGCAAATACTGCATATCAAATGGACATAATCAAACTCTTGTTGGTCAGATGAGATATCAAATCACTCGTTACAACGTTAAATAGAAATGCAGGATATACCTCAGCTCTTTGTAATTAATAATATGATGTCTATACACTCGGTTCGTATTGTCCTCATCCAAAGGCTGACGGCAATTAATATTTTAGCAAGAATGTCTCTGTTTAAGTAGCAATGGAAATGCTTGAGTAAATCAGAGCACTATAAGATAACATATGCTTTATTCACATACTGAGATGTCACCCACAAAAGTTAGAGAAATGTCCGTTTCAGCCCTTCTTTCTTTATTAATATTGCATCATTGCATGACCATTTTAGTTCTCTTATCCCTTGAAAAGTAAGATTGCCTTTGATTTTATGGATTGTTATAAGTTGTTAACGAATGAAAATTGTGCTAGTGGAGTTTGTCATATGCTACAGAACAAATGGTGGGTGACCAGGAAACAGGCAACCTGATATATGCTCTTGAAAAACTAGATAGAGAATAGTCAAGGTTCATAATTTGGAAGAAGAATGCCATGTGAAATACAAAATTATTATATATGTTCCTTTCATATGTATTATTTGTGGCAGATTGTAATGCCTTCAATTATTAGTCTCCGCTGTCTAATTAACGTAAACATAGAGCGTCTGGCACTGGACCAGGCAACTCGCAACTTTCCATCTTTATCATTTTAGAAGAAGGCCAACTAATAAATGAAAAGTATTAGTGCTCACTAACTCAGCAATTGGGATTTTACCACTATCGCTCAGATCAAGTTGCTTTCAAATCATTAAAAAGTAGTGGCCAGAAGAAAATACGAGGGACAGCTTAACTTGCTTATGGTAAAGCTAGCTAGCATTGCTTATCTCTAACGTGACATAAGAGATTAAACTCTCAATGATATCTGAAGATATAAGTAATTTAATATCAATAAGTAATTTCTCGTGTTAGTTTAAATTAATAGTATAGTTTAATAATATGTTTCATAGTCAAGTGGATATATTCAACATATTACTGAATAATATACTATTAATGAAAAATCTTCATAAAAAATAAAAAGAAAATCTGGAAAACAAACTTTTATTAAGAATATTATCTTTTTGGGTTTCAAAATCTGTGACCGGGTTATAACTTTTAATTTGAATTGTTAATTGACACTCTGACAATTTACCTTCCCCGGTATTCTTTTTACTTTAGGCCAAGGTAGCTTTTCTTTTTGGTAGAACTGTAGAAGACTATAACTCTAGAAGGTACGATTTTTATGCTAATGTTTTTAACTTTTTAGTAAATAAATTGGTCAATAGAAAAAGAAAAGAAAAGAAGATAAATTTTTTGCATTATTAATAGGCAACGTCACCTGGGTCCACCCAAAACTTAAATATGGATGCAAGAGGACAACTAACCTGACGCCGTTACCTTAGGTAAGGTGGTGGTACCTCCCGAACCAAAAAAAGCAAATGAAAAAGATGGTTCGGGAAGAAATATCAGCAGATCCAAAGGAAGTAGTAACAGTCGCCGTTAAGATACATTCAGCACCGTAAAAAGACTTGGTCTGGTCAGCTAACAACTGCTCCTCTCTCAGCCATTTCTATCGTGACACGTCATTGCTGGTTCTGGGAAGGACGGTGCAAACCCACCCCCACCTTTGTCTCCTTCTTCTTCTGCTATATATCAAACCCCTCCACCCTCGCCTCTTTCAAAATCTAACCGACGCTCACCTACACCTACACCACACACAAGCACAAAGCCTAGTTTCATTTTTCTGACTCAAGCAATCTGCTCTTTCTTTTTCATCCTTTTTGTGACGAGGAAGAACCATTTTTTTTTTATTTTAAGTGTTTTTATTTTGAGGATTAACCACCGCTATGGGTACCGAGATTTTACGGCCTCAGAACTGTTTAATAGAACGAATCAGAACTCCTCCGGTGGCTTTTTCCCGGCGGAAGAGTTCCGGAAACTCCTGTAATTATTATTATTACAACAATCACGTAACGACCTCCAGATCTTACCGGAAGCCGGTTACCCGACCCGATCAGAAGAAAAGGGTTGTTGTAGGTTCGAGCCAGCCGGTGGCGGCGGAGGCCGCGTCGGTCTCGAGGAGATTGAGCTCCGATGATTCGAGGATGGTGAGGAGCGGCGGTTTGGCGATGGAGAAGGTCACGATTCTCCGGAGGGGCCAGTCGCTCGACTCGTTGCCGGTGCATGTGAAAACCGACGTGTACGCTGGATCGGCGTTTGCGATGTCTCCGTCGCCGAACGCGCTTCCTCTGCCATCTTTTCCGACGAAGAAGCAGGCCTCGGCGGCGTTTGACGATTCTGCTACGCGAGATCTAAGGCGTCTGCTCCGGCTCGAATGACACCAAGGCGGGTTTCATTTCCGGGTTTTGGGTTGGATCCGACAAATTATCCATCTACCGTTTCTCTCTCCTCCCTTTATAGTCTAGAATCGTCTTTTCGTTCCCTTGTCTCCGTTACCGTTACGCCTCTCCCGGCTTCAAGTTCTGACCCGACCGTGATTTTTTTAAACGGAAGGGTGGATCTGAACTTGGGCAAGAGGTTAGTGGCGAAAAATGTTTGGAGTAGTAGTGTATGAGTCATGTGAATGTGATGTAACATCTGTTGGGGTTGTTTGTTAAAAGGTTAAAATAAAAGTTAGGATTGTAATATCAGTTTAAGGTGGAAAAACGAAGAAGGAAAATCTATTAAAAAAGCAGAAGAAAAAGAAGACAGGATATGAGGGGTTGTTTTGTGAAATCTGGAAAAGATTGTGGATTGGTGTGTGTTGGGCTGTTAGCTGTGAATTGTGTGAAGGGAAAGCTTTCTGCTGGTGTTGTAAGTTTGCGAGCGCTATGGACCCTTTTTTGTAAAGTAAATAATTAAACTTGGGGAAATTTGAGCAGATTTCGCAATTTTTTCTTTTATTATGAAATGTTTTTGGCAATCAAATCTTCTTTGTTTGCAAAGAGGTCCGCAGGTGAAGAAGAAGAAATGTTTTCCCTAAATTTAAATTTTAGACCGATTAATAGTATGAAAAAAAAAATTTAAGCGATGAATTAATTGAAAAAAACAATCTTATGTATTTATAAAGATATCTTGGAAGTCCATTTGCACTGTTTAGATATGCTGTTTAGGATTATCGTTTGCTTTAACTGAGCCAGAGTCTCCGTTGCGGATGGAACATTCCTATATCTGTCTCAGACAATGGTTGTGACATAAATCTTGTGTAATTGCTACGATGGTGTGCGGTAACGAACGACGCTCCAAAACCTAGGTCAAGTAATGAGAGAGGAGAACGAGTTGTTATGGATTATGCTTAATTTTACAGACTGTGGGGCACTTGTAGTTTTTCCTTTAGATTGCATTTGCAGCTGAGATAAAAGGGTGGCTGGCTGGCTGGGTGGGTGCACATCTCACCTTATTGCTTGAGCTGATCTCGATTTGATAAGGAAAGGGATAAACGCACAATTTAATGAAGCTTGCGAGTTGGTATGATATCATATTATGGTTCATGGGGTGCATCTTATTGGGCCCTTGAAAATAGTTACGAAATAACCAAGATAGTGCATCACAGCCAGTCAGCCACCATCATTTACGTCTACAACCAATCAATCTCCGTTGCCTTCTTTGACCATCATCTACATCAATTTTTTTTTTTTTCTTAAGTAGAATAAAGGTGCGTTAGCCCAGAAAACAAGAAACATCATTTTATTTTAATTCTATTATTTCATATCATTCTTTATTTTTTATTTTATTTCGTAACCTTTTAGTAAGTTATAAAAATACATACTTTCTTACATATAATAATCTTAAATAGAGAATAATATATATAAGTAAAATGTCCTTTAAATACTATACTCTTACTTGTGTATAAACTCTATTCTTTTTTAATTTTACTCTTGCTAGTTATGATACAAAGAATTGAACACTATTTTTATAATTTAATTTAATTTTTATATGTTTCATTGATAATATATTTTCATTTTATTTATACTAATAATATTAATAATAAACCTATTAAAGTCTCCATAAATATATGTGAAAAACAAATTAAATATAGACTTTTATTATTACAATATAAGTGAATCCTTAATTTTAAAGTTTTTAATAAAACTTTCATCACGCATAATGACATATTTTCTATCAAAATGACTAAAAATTAGAAAAATTTGAGTTTTACAAGCTAATAATGGAATTAATGTTTGTTGTAGGAAAAATTTTTATCTTCTATATACACATAATAATGTGTAGGGTCCACATTTTATTTTTCTTTCTTTTCTTTTTACGTTGCCCCACATGAGTCTCACACACTTTTCTTCGTGTATATATATAGGAAATAATTTTAATTATTACAACACAAGAGATATTAATCCCTTAAACTAATAGCTATAAATGTTTGAGTTCGTCTAAATATTAAAGTTTAAAAATGATTGCTTTTGTGATCGAGTTTAAAAATATAAACAAGACAAAATGATTGTGAAATAAAATTATATTGAGGGATTTATGTTTTTTTTTATCTATACATAAAATAACCTCGATATGTATTTAGTAGCTCTATTAACTATTATGAAATTATTGGACAATTAATTATTGATACTACAAGATTTTTTTTAAAATTATTAAAATATAAATAAGATTGACCTAAATTTTTTTAAATAAAAAATATATAGATTTTCCATGTAATAAAAAATCTTAATACATCAAAATAAACTATAAATCACTTTATTTCTTCCTCTTTAAATTATATATATATATATATATATATATATATATATATATATATATATATATATATATATATATAAGTTAATAAGTGTATGTAAATATTGTCCCGAACAAACAATACAAAATTGAGTTGTTTAACATGTTAAAAATAAATAGAGTAAATACTCTTTATGGTCCTCAGCAAATTTTACGACACCCGTTTTTTTTTTTTTTTTTTAAATAAAGAGGGGCTAAGCCCCAGAAACAGAAAGAAATTACAAATCAGAAACTAACAAGCTAGACATATTTCTAGCATCAGCAACTATAAGTTCCATCAACTGAGGAGGAGGATCTTTAAAAATCTTGAAATAGAGATTATTAGTCTGCCCAGCTTTAGCTAATTCAAAATGGACTCATTTAGTTAAAATTTTGGTCCCTCACAAATTTAAAAAAAGACTCATATTAGTCCCTAAAAGGACTAAAATGTGTCCATTTTGAATTTTTTAGGGACCACGATGAGCCTTTTTATTTGTTAGGGACTAAAACGGGTGTCGTGAAATTTGATGAGGACCAAAAAAGATATTTACTCAAATAAATATAATGACGTATATCTTTATAAAGTCAAAATATGAATAGAAATATTATTACAAAAAAATAATAAAAGAATGTAAATATTAAATTTTAAGTATGACTTTTTTATGATAATTTATAATATTATAAGCATGTTTGATTTGTTTATTTCGTATTAATTTTTTTTTGAATGTCATCTTTTGATTATTTTGACTATAATATTGGCTTTTCTTACTGTTACTAATTTAATACATATTAAATATTTTTCTACTGAAAAAAAAACATTGTCATAAATATTAAATTCAGACAATGTGTGAAATACATGATAACTTAAAGTAACTAGTGGATTTAAAAAGAGAAACCAGAATAGTGGCTGACGTATCTGAACTCAAGATACAATAGTAGCGTGAGATATCTTAATCTAAAATGTTAACTTATTAAGAAGTCATCACTTTATCAATTTTTTTTTAGTACGAGAGTTTTTTTGTACTTACATAATCTCATGCAATTCATAGCTAGAATTCGCAGCAATCTCTTGGTTAAGTTTGAATCTGCATACAAGCACCAACAAACATTACGAAACTTTCCCCCGGTGAATATATTCAGTGGTCAATAATCTTATGGAAGTCCACCCTTCTTTCTTCACGCAGGTAGCAATTGTGGGAGCAACTATATATGAAAACACTAACCGTTGTCTACACTAGTTTCTGTGCCAGAGCTATAAGCTCCATACCATTCATTTGTTAGGGAGTCGGAAAGCCAAAAACAAAAGAAAAAGGTTTTGCCAATGGAAAGAAAAATGTCATACCATAAAATCGATTTTTTTTTTTTGTAAATTCATAAAATCGATTTTAACCATAATATATATATATATATATATATATATATATGAGGTAGGATCCTTTGACACCGGTGTCAAATTTGAAGTTTGACACCTCATCTAAGAGCCGTTAGATAAAAAAAGATCAATGGTGTCACATGCTTATAAATCAGAGTCGTTGTTCTTTTTTGATCTAACGGCTTTCAGATGAGGTGTCAAATTTGAAGTTTGACACTTCATCTGAGAGCCGTTAGATCAAAAAAGATCAACGACTCTGATTTGTAAGCATGTGACACCATTGATCTTTTTTGATCTAACGGCTCTCAGATGAGGTGTCAAACTTCAAATTTGACACCGGTGTCAAAGGATCCTGCCTCATCAATGGTGTCACGTGCTTACAAATCAGAGTCGTTGATCTTTTTTGATCTAACGGCTCTCAGATGAGGTGTCAAACTTCAAATTTGACACCGGTGTCAAACTTCAAATTTGACACCGGTGTCAAATGATCCTGCCTCATATATATATATAGTTTAGTGAGTGTACATCGACTGGATGTAAAAATCGGTCCAGTGCACTATGTTCTCCCGCGAGAACACAGTTATAGTAAAATTATAACTATGTTCTCCCGAGAGAACACAATTGTAATATTTTTGCACTATGTTCTCGCGGAAGAACATAGTGCACTGGACCGTCCAGTCACTTTATTTTCATTTTTTCCATATATATATATATATATGGAAAACATTTTCTCCTTTTAAATGAGAAAATTTTTCTCATGTTAATGACTCATAATATAAGTGGGCCCACAAAATAGTGGAAAGAGAAAAAGTTTCAAAGTGAGACCCAATTATGTTATAAGTCATTAACATGAGAAAAAAAATTTCCTTTAAAAGAAGAAAATGTTTAACCATAATATATATATATATAGTCAAAATAAATTCTGACCAAATTACAATTAAAAATAATAATTTATCCTATTTTTTTGTGCACGTGATGTTTCCCTTGTAATGGAGTCAAAGATCAAATCATCAATGGTTAATTAGTTGGCTTGGCAAACGCCGCCACCAAAAACATGGTGTAGTGGTATATCTTAAAACGGTCTAACGAGAAACGTTTATTAATTTTTTTTTTAATAAACAAACAATCTCACAAGTAATCACATAGCAATCATAAAAAGGTTAGTCCAATTGATTAATAAACTCAAACACTTGGCTATTTTTCAAATTCCATTCCGTGAATCTAGTTAAATAAAGCGAACTTATTAGTAGATTATTTGTATCACTTAATTAATTTTTATTAATGCATTTGTCTTTTATTAATAGATTATTTGTATCACTTAATTTTTACTGATATGCTTATTACATATTTTGATATTGAATTGAGAATATCTTCCATCTTATAAACTTCCTACGATGAAAACAAACTGAGTAGCTTATTAGCAGTGAATTGTTTAGATTATCATTAAAAAAGAGGCACTTGATAGAAAATTTTGAAGCAGCCTTTGAGAATTAAAACTTGTATGAATTAAGATGTCAAATATTGTACCGCTGCATAATAAATTAATTTGGCATACTATTACAAGTCCAAATCAGCAGTAAAGGGAAATGTAATTTAGAAAATATTTGACATGCTTTTTGACAGATATGGAATGGATCTTGAATCTACCGTTCACGTTTTAGAGGGCTTCCCCTGGATATATAATTTGCATTTTTTTTAAATGTGTATTGACAGACAACAAAATTAGCGAGTTACGGACAAAGACTGCTTTTGATCCTTTTAATTTATTTTAAAGAATTGAATTTATTAATGTAACTGTCTCATTATACATTTTGTTTGAATAGTCCCATATTATAACCGTCAAACCATAATTTTTTCGTAAAATGTAAAATAATATCAAAGTCTTAAATGTTGTACTGCATCTCTATCCTTTTTTCTTCCCAAAAAAATATATTAATATACTATACTATGAGTCAAGATTATTTTTATATTCTCAATTTTGATCGTTAATCCAATTTATATTTAATGATTCTGATTTATTATATATTTAAATCGTTAGATACAAGTAAATAATGACTAATATTTAACGTAAGACTTCTTATTTTTTTTACACTGATGTAAAAATAATCTGCCACTTAATATCATATACGCATGTTTAGACAAATAATATCATAAATTTTGGTTTATCCTACATCCAATCTGAATTGCTCTTATATATTTATTTATTTTGTGAGGATACCGCTACTTGTCAATAATTAACAATTAATATTTGCGGATGTATGTTACTTTCTTAAAATATAAATGCAGCATGTCATTTTTATATAATTTTTAATTAAACAAGACAATTATGAATTTTAGTCGTTGATATGAAAGAACAACAACCTATAGCTAGATACAAGAAGGATATGTATTGCTGTATTTGTTTTGAGAATTATGAATTTTATATTGAGAAATTATATTTGGGAATACGTAGCCAGAGAATATCTGTATACTTTTCTTGTCTGACTTGTTATTGTAATCCTTTCATGACTCGTTCAATGTGCATGGCATGGCATGGCACAGTGCAATTTGGTATAATAAAATAAGGGCTTTATTAATCTCATGTGACATAAGAGAAGCTCTCTTATGTCATAGAGATAGTTATGAGTGGGACCCACTCACTTAAAGAAAAAGTAAAAAAGAAAAAAAAGCAACACGGAAATCGATGTATGTGTAGGAGAGAAAAATACTCTCCTACAGCATAAGATAATATTTTTCCATAAAATAAAAGGTATTACTTGAAGTTTGTCTTGAAATTTCAAAGCTGTTGATTAGTTGCCTGAATTATTCTGATTAAATTAGAATTAAAGAGCCATTATTTTCCGTAGAAGCAACTAACTCCATAAAATCTCTCTTAAACTGCTGCTATAAAATCAACAAGGTAGCTAGCCCCAGGCAGAGAAAGAAAAACACAAGTGAAAACTAGTTAGTCTGTGTGGAACTGATAGTCTGCACTGCACTGCAAGGCCCATTAGGAAAGTAAGAAAGAAAGAAAAAGAAAAAGAAAAATGAAAGCAGACATGTCATCGTTGAACTCTGAAACAACAAGTACCCAGAAAGGAGGCACAGGCGCAGCAGGCACCACACTCTCAGCAATCGGGAACCTCATAAAGCTGCTCCCAACAGGCACAGTCTTCTTGTTCCAATTCCTCAACCCCGTTGTGACCAACAGTGGTCACTGCAACACAACCAACAAGTACCTAAGCGCCATTCTCCTCGTGGTTTGTGGCTTCAGCTGTGTCTTTTCTTCCTTCACGGATAGCTACACAGGGAGTGACAACCAGAGACACTATGGCATCGTAACCACCAAGGGACTGTGGCCTTCTCCAGCGTCACAGTCACAGTCCATTGATTTGTCTATGTATAAGCTCAAGTTTGGAGATTTCGTGCATGCTGCCTTATCCTTGTTTGTGTTTGCTGTGCTTGGCCTCTTAGACACGAACACTGTGCTCTGCTTCTACCCTGAATTTGAGAAGAATCAGATGAGTCTTCTGCAGGTGCTGCCCACAGCTATTGGGGTTTTTACTGGTGGGGTGTTCATGATGTTCCCTAATAATCGCCATGGAATTGGATACCCTAAAAGTACTGATTCTAACGACACTACTTCAACAAAATCCAATGATAGCGCACCTCCTCCAAATCCAAACGATATTGCTTAGTAGTCTTTTTAGAAATTTTGTTACCACATCTCGATCGCTCAACCGCTCCTTTGAAAATGTTGGCGTTTATTTATGTACCAGTCTTTTCTATTGCCTCCAAAGTGAAGAACTATCGTTTTCTTTTCAGTGTGGGACTTGGATCGACATAATTACTATTTCTTGTTTGAAACTTGGGATGGCTTTGTGTACTTGTCTACGATTATCATGTTAAGTAGTAATGTACGTATATATATAAAGGATTTTTAAAAAATAATAATTAAATATTACAATCAAACTTAAATGGAATTTACTCTCTTCTTATTTATTTTTTTGGATATAACTCTCTTCTTATTATTTATACATAAAAATTTCATCATTCAATAAATGAGGATAATTTTATAATATAACTAGTATATTACTTTTGTAATTTTCTCGAAAACGTTGTAATTGATAAGAATATTTGTTGTTTGTAAGAATAATTAGGTATATATAAATTTGCCATGCGCCTTTAATGAGTTAATGCATGCAATAAGTGGATATTAATTCCTACTTCAATAATGTGGTCTTGGATTGAGGGGATTGAGGGAGGGTTGTGGATGCACGATTTCCTCTACGTCCCCTTTCATTTACGTGGCCCGTAACACTCTTTGCATTTTCATTATATGAAACGATGTCATTCACAACGGATATGATACATAGTCGATCCAATGTGTTACACGGATTCAAGTTCTTAACATTGTTATAAATGTAAGTGAGAATAATTATATTTAAATATATATTTTTTCTTATAGTTTATTCTTAGATACTATCACAATTTGTAGTATAAACGGTGTTATAATTTAGATTCTTAAACTTTCAATCATTTATAGTCAAGGCTCAGTGAGGATAATATTTAACGGCGACAGTTGTACCAGGCACTGAAAAAATTATTAAGTTACAGACATGACACATTGACACATGTAATTAAGACAAGGAACAAAGTTTAGATTTATGTAATTGACGGCCAAGAAAGAAAAACACAAACGGTTAAGCTTAAAACTTTAAAACCCTAAAAAACGGTCGTGCTATTAGCCATTCACGTGTATCATTTTCCTTTGCATCTTTGTAAGTATAATATACTACTAATATTAATATTGTTACATGCTACTGCGCAAGCCAACGCAATGGACTTTTACCTTAAAAAGAAATCAATAACTTCTGAACCAGAAGCTCGCATATTTGAATTCGATATTATAATTGAACTGGTCATACTAATAGACACTTGATCTGATCTTATCAGAAAGTCCAAGTAAACCATGACTTTGAAGAGAACTAGTCTACTTTTTTTAAATAAGGCGTGTACCATTCTTCTTTTGTTTCAATCTATGCGGGACTTTTCATAGGGCTTCATTTTCTTGATACTTTTTATTTGTGCAGTTATCATATCATAAGCTGATCATTACAATATCTACGGTAACCTATTTTTTACAACTAATTAGTATCCTTCGGATGAATAGGCTTATATCATAAAGCAACATGAAAATTGAAGAATACGTAACAATTTCTCAATAAAGAAAAAAAAAAACCTTAAACTAGTAAAATCAATACTGGAATTCAATTGATGGCATTCTGCTCTTATTAATGGACTTGGCTGGAAGCTGCAAATAACGAACCATGCAGTGACGATAGAGACCTAGTTAGTTATTACTTCCATCATATATGGGTGATTAACATTTTACCGTAAGGTTGATTAAGTATATGGTGAATTTGTACCTTTTTTTTTTGTTTAACAACGGAGGCGCTAAATATTAGAGAAGAAATGATAAAAGGAGGTAGGGCAGGCTAACGTGAGTATAGAAACTAATTGAAGATCAAACCACTCATCTTCAGTTTAAGAAAGCGACCAGACTATCAACAATTGATTTGTAAATTTTTCTTGATCTATTCCATTTTTTTTTTTCAGAGTGGCTTTGAATGTTGAAAAATATTTTATGGATACATACTATTCCTTCTGAATGACTAAAGTTTAAAAGATGTGCTGTGTGCACATTCACTACAAATATGTCGGCATCGTTATTTATTTTTGGCTATTTATTTCATTGGTCTATTAAATTGCACTTGCTATTGTAAAGAGAAGTCAACGCTTACAAACTGAACCGTTTTGCATCTCTATAGTCTATACCCCACCACTTGTCCTCTCCTGTATTTTCTGAAATCGTAGTAGCTTTAATTTTAAATTTCTTATTATTTTAAAAAACAACTAATTAAGCCTTGCTATTCTTTTTACTATAAATACTATAAAAAAAACAAAGACCTTGCTGAGTCACTGATAAAGCAGTATCTGAAGGCCACTTAAATGGTCTTCTTTTAAAATCAAGACCATTTATAATGGACCGGGAATACCAAGTGGATTCTCCATTTTTCCAAATGTGATTTTTTTTTATAAAGTCCCAAAAAAAAAAAACACGATTTTCACTTTAGTCTTTTATAAAAAATAATAATAATTTCGAGGTTCCTAAGAAATTCAAAATGGACTCATTTAGTTGAAATTGTGATTCCTCATAAATTCAAAAAAGACCCACTTAAGTCCCTCAAAAGGATTAAAATAAGTAAACTTTGAATTTCAACCTCGGAACTAATTTTTTTTTTTGTAAGGAACTAAAATGAGAACCATATTTTTTGTTAGAGACCCAAAATGATTTTACTTTTTTTTTTTAATTTACTACTTTCTTTCATTTCTATTAAGAGGAGTATTCTTACGACTTAAAAGTTTTACATTATCTTACAATTTATTTTTGTTCATTGATTTTTGTCAATCGAACATACCTAATAAATCATAACTGTTGAATTGACAAAATTAACAAATTTTTTTTTGTAAGAATAACACTCTTCATCTATTTATGTCCCAAAAAAATTTCCATGTTTAAAAGAGAAAAATATCCACTCAAATACTACTGAATCATGTAGTGCCTTGCTTCTAATCCACTAAAATTTGGTTCTAATTTTAGAGCAACTTCCCAAGGAAGAAGCCCTTCAAAAATAGGTGTATACCACTGATTGCGGCGAGCACACGGTATTCTTTCGTAAAAGGCAAAAGAATTGTGCTCACCGCATGGCTGCGTGCTTTTTACTTGACAAGGCTCTTGTCCTTTTGTATTGCATTTCATGTCAGGGTCAGTCATTGTATCTCAATGTGTGGTTACTACATTCTTAACATAATTATTTCTTAAACTTTGGTCGTGTTTATGCTTATCAAATTGAACTTCACCGTTGATTGTTTGTAGTAATAGCAGTTGTGGAAAGTAAAATTAAAAATCATACTAATATTGTGACCAAATTACTCACGAGCACAAGCTACAAGGCTTCGCTGAGATTTAAAGTATTCAATTTGAAATAGAGACAGGGAGAAGATAGATGTAGTATTCAATCATTTGTCAAGGGATAGTAAATGTTTTGAATTATTAAATTGATCATATATTGTTTTTTTGTTCTTCTTCTTTGGTCATAGGTTGATCAAACACCATAGCTAAAGGCAAAATTACTTACCAGTCAGAACAAGTGCATAATTGTCATTGTCTAATTAGAGTTTTTGTTTTTTAACTAGATATGGGAGGAAAAGGAATTTGATGAGTATGGAAAAATTTGGATGAAAGCGAAATTTGAGTTATCGGAGCCATCTTCTTGAGTTTCTTCTTCACAACAAAACAACACAACTGCTACACAATAAGAGTAGTAAACAAGATACCATGATCTAAGACACCACGATTAATATAGAAGTGTCGAGTTCGTACTAAATAGTGACATACATTTCAGCTGCAATGTAACAAAGTTTCTTTCACTAGGTCACCTCAATCATTAAGTGTCTGTGGATTATTGTTTTTTGTGATTTTGCCAGTCTTCTATCACACCAGCAGTCGCGTCAGAACTGAAATCCTGGATCCTGGGATGTATAATGTATTCTATAAAGCTATCATTTATTTGCTCTTTCCCACTGCGAGGATAGTTGATCATTTTAACAGAAACACGACAAAGTCAATGATGCACGAGTAGGTGAATGACAGTAATATATATAGGAAAAGAGGACAACTATATCATTTAATCTGCTTCAATTAATAATCGTCAGTAAAATTGTTATAAATATTGCTTATTTACTTAATTATTATTATTTGTTGTATTGGGCCAAGTCCATTAGATCAATAATTAGGTCTTTTATTCTCGATAAATAGAGACCTCTTTGTACAGATTATTTACACAATTCAATAATATATTAGAATACCTTTTTTCAAGTTGGTATCAGAGCTCTCGATTCTGAGGGCTCTGCTTCCGCAATTACCTCCGTTAAAATAGAAACCTTCTTTCTTAGCCTCTCGCCGCCATTAGCTGCCACCGGAAAATTTTCCTGTGGACCTTTTGGACCAAGAGGACCTGTTTTCAAATCTTTTTTCTCTGATCTATCAGCTTACAGACGTGTTATAATCGTTTGACGACCGAATCTCCCCAAAACAACACAAACCCACTACTGTTCATCGCATTTTTGGACACTTTTCCGGGGACCTTTCAACTCCGACCGACCACAGACAGGTTCGCGCCCGTCGGACGACCTCGCCGCAGAAATCTCAGCTCGAAAAGCCACTGCACGCGCCCACACGCGCCACTGTCTTCCCTGCGAGTGACACCCACGCGCCGACAGCTTCACCGGCGCGTGGCGTTGCGTGGCTTTGAATCTCCGCCGCGGACCACTGCCGTTCTGATCGTCTCTTCATCCTCTTTCTAGATCTGTGCTTTCTCCTCTGATCGGACGTCGTTTGGTATTTTTTCTGTATTTTTTGGCTCCTTAGTGTTGTTCTTTGACTAATTTTTGCAGTATGGCCTCTTCCAACACTGATTCAACCCTTGCAAACACAACTACAAATTCTTCTACACAATTTATGGTGACCCCTCTTGGTCACAATGATCTTCTTGCTCTTCATCAGAATTATCATCTGAATGGAAAGAATTATTTACAATGGTCGACCCAGGTTGTTCGCACCATTCTCAAAGGACGCCGTAAAGTTGCTCATATTGAAGGAGATGTTCCTGCCAAAACAGCTCCAACATTTGCTGATTGGGATGATGAAGACTCACTTATTATGACGTGGCTATGGAACTTTATGACTCCCGAGGCTAGTCAACATTGCATGTTTTTACCTACTGCTCTTGAGATCTGGAACGTTCTTAAGCAGACCTATTCAATGAAGTAAGATGCTGCCACTTGTTATGATATGAGGAATCGGT